AAATTAGAATATACAAAACTATAATTTTGCCTGTGGTTCTGTATTGGTGTGAAACTTGGTCTCTGACATTAAGGGAGGAACATAGACTGAGGGTATTTGGGAACAGGGTGTTGAGGAGAATATTTGGATCGAAAAGAGATGAAGTGACAGGAGGTTGGAGAAAACTGCATAATGAGGAGCTTCATAACTTGTACTCTTCTCAAAGTGCAACTAGAATGATCGAGTCAAGGGGGATAAGGTGGACAGGGAATGTAGCACGTATAGAGTAGAAGAGGAATGCATATAGGATATTGGTGGGAAGGCCAGAAGGAAAGAGACCACAGGGAAGACCAAGGCGTAGATGGGTGGACAATATTAAAATGTATCTTAGACAGATAGGATGGGATGGTATGGATTGGATAGATCTGGCTCAGGATAGGGACCAGTGGAGGGCTCTTGTGAACACGGCGATGAACTTTCGGGTTCCATAAAATTCCGGAAAATTCTTGAGTAGCTGCAGAATTGGCTGCTCCTCAAGAAGGGCTCAGCTCCATGAGTAAGTAAGTAAGTAAGTAAGTGTCCTCTGTGAGAACTTCAATTCTCGAATTGATTAAATGTGTCTCGTGACATCTGGGGTAACATCCAGACAGAAATAAATTCACGTAGAACCTACCTTTCTCTGTGCCAAACCTCCAGAACTGTTTATCTCTCCGGCATCTTATTAATTAGAGCAAGTGCATTTGCACTGCGACAATAGAAACGATTTTGTGTATATGGAACGTATCCAAGAGACCATACGTATCCTTGGTTTTCCCTTACGGGTTAATGAACGCCGTCCAAAACGACGAAAAAAGACATTGAAAGTTGGCCGCTGATGTATCCCGCTAATTGCGCCGTATTGCGTTAATACAAGCATCGAGGCTGTACACGAATGCCTCCGTACACATGTGCAAATAGAATTGGCGAAAAGTTCATTGTCTTTTTATACATTCTGACAACTGGGACCAGCTCAGCTGGAACAGAAACCGCGCAACGGCCTGGACTACCTCGGAACATGAGTTTGAATCCTACGGCAAGAGATTTTTCCTTTCCACATTTTCTAGACTAGCCCTGGGGCCCACCTATCCTCCTACCCAATGAACACCCGGGGCTGTCTCCGAGGGTAAATTTTCGGAGGCGTGATGCTGATCACTCATTTCCTTCTGGTACGTAGGTTAGGTATGCGTGGAGCTATACTTCCATATTCCATACACCTTCATATCATGGTGCTTAATTATTAACAGGAACAACTTTGCATTGTATTTTGGGAAGGAAGATCTTAATTAATCTCTGAAAATAAAAGGAATAGACTTATGCCGATCACAGTAGCCGCGCGGTCTAAGGCATGAACCGTCTTCACCCACCCAAACTCCGGGATCGTGGGTTCGAATCCCACTCTAGGCATGGATGTCTGTGTGCATTTATTCTGTGTTTGTGTTGTTCTGTGTGTCGGTAGCGGCCTTGCGACTTGGCCGATTCCCCGTCCAGGGAGTCCTGCCGATTGTGTATGGATTAAGAAATTGAAAAACGACCAAGTTCCAAAGGGCTGCAGAGCCACAGAGAGAGGATATGTATTGTGCCTTGAAAGATATCAAAAAATCAACTATTTGACAACAGAAGGAACGGGGTTATCCCAGTCGCTATAGCGACCACGGCTAGAAAGACCGAAGAATCAGAGCTCCATTCCCGTCAAGGCAAACAAATTGCTCCCCCACAGTGTCCAGACGGATTCTGGGACCCACTTAAAAGTCTACGCAACGGTCACGGGAATTAAAACGGCTGCTGCATGAAGCTGATCATTAGTGCCGAGGTTAAGAATGAGTGGGGCTACACCTCCACTCCTCCACACGTCTTCTTGGCGTAGAACATGATTAAGCACAAGGACGTCCGTTTTACAAAAAATACCTGTTCCAGTATTACGGAAACCGGAAGTAGTGCTTCCATATGAACCACTCAAACGCAGATCGAAACCCACCAACCGTTTTCTTTCTCACAATTTGGACCACGACCCCCCTCCCCTCTGGGTTAGAGACCTACCATATGGAGGGTCTCAAAATATTTATTCAATATACAATGGCGGACGCGGCGCGGTTTTGACAGGTCGGCTCGATAAAACTGAATATTGATGCCTTCGGAAAACGCAGCTACAGCCGCCGAAACGTCTTGCGGATCCGTCCCTGATTGCGCAGGAGCATTTTACAGCTTAGAGGTTATAGAGACAGTTAGGTTCGTGCGACCACCGTACAGTCAGGAAAAGTTAAGTAATATTACGCATTATTTTGGAGGGTCGCAGTGTCACAAAATCTCAGAACCTCTGGTACAAATCCTCCTTCGTTCGTACTACACTTCTCTACTCATCCCGTGGGTATAGATAGCTATATGGATGCATGGATTAATGGATGAATTGATGGATGGATACACAGACAGAGTGACAGACGGACTAATGGGCAGATAGATAGATATATAGACGTTTCGTAGAGTGGCCCTTACGTTCAGACATGTCTGAAACACTACCCATCTTGCTGACTGTATATTGGGGAGAGCGACCGGTGTTAATATAGCTCTCTCACCTGACAGATATTGTCACAGCCAAGAAACCACGAGGGGCAATGCCCCAGATGAACAGATGTGCGCCTACCGTGGAATAAATCAAAGAGAATTAGCCGCAAAACTTGGAACAAGCCCATAATCTAAGCCTCATTTGACCGGAAGTTTTCTTAGCTGGTCTGGTCTTTCAACTTAAGATAGTAAATAATAAGACGCATAATTACTTTAATTTTAAATAAGTAATTCCCTGTAGTGTAGACAAAATATGTAATATTCTATTCGTACGAGTGTTTCTTCTGTGTTCAGGAAGAGATACACGAGAAATAGAGAAGTTTAACTTCATGAACAATCTTTGAAAATGTGGCAATACTTCATATCATGAGGAACGAAGCTAACAACTGAAATTTTCATAAATTTCATAAATTCATAGATCATTTTTCATAAAAGAAATAAGAGGGTATTTTGGGTAAAGCTACGTAGCTACCATTCGGTTCAGAAGCTTTTTGCTTCTCACTTGCCATCTGAAAACATAAAGATTAAAACATAAACAATAAGTTCTGGCAATGAATAATTGCCTACTTTCCTTCGATACTACACTGACGTCGTAGAAAACTATGCGTCCAACAATTCTTCTATCGTTGTATGTGCATTCGTTGCCGCGGGAACGTTCTTACCGAGCCTTCGCCTGGCAATAATAGGATGGATACACATACAGACACACGGACTGATGGGAGGAATTTATGAAGTACGCCGTTGAGATGGGATCAGATATCATGATATGCATACTAAATTTCGTAAAGATTGTTTCAGCCATTCATAAGTTGATATGGGAGGATACGCAGACACAGCGACACACAGATAGAATAGTGATAGCATAAGCCTACGTTTATTTTTTCAGTATAGGGAAAATAGGATAAAAGCCATGATGTTGCCTGTAGTTGGGAACATGGTACCGAGGAGAATATTTTAATGTAATAAAGATGAAATAATGGAGGTCTGAGGAAAACTGCATAATGAGGAGCTTCATAACTTGTACTTCTCGTTAAGTATAATTAGAATGATCAGATCAAGGCAGATGAGATGGACAGAGCATATAGAACGTATGGGAAGGAAGAGACATGTGTACAAAAATTTTGGTGAGCAAGCGTTAAAGAAAGAGACCACTAGGAAGATTTAAAAGCAAATGGAAACAGGATATTAAAACGGATCTCAGAGAAATAAGATATAGAGATGTGGACTGGATTCATCTGGCTCAGGATAGGGACCAATGACAGTCTCTTGTGAATATAGTAATGAAACTTCGGATCCCATACACTTCTAGGGATTTGTTGAGTGGTCGCGCCATTGTTAGCTTCGTAAGATTGAGTCAACTCCACGGAATTAGTTAAGACTTCAATGTAAAATGAATAACTGACACAAATATTTCCAAGTTCGTCTATACAACTCACTGCATGATAAATCTCTTAATCAATAACAGATAGAGCTGCCCTTGCCTTTAATTAAGCACCATACAATAAAGGCGTATGGGGCTCTACGCATTTTAATCTCACTAAAATATTCTTACCCCTACAGTATGTTTAACCCCGTAGTGACCCAGGTTTTGTGGTTTTGCTAGAGATCTGTAAGATCACGGTTCGTAACCGGACTAGACATCTTCCATTTAGTTCCAGAATGCCTACTTCCTAACGACGCTACTTCCGGTTCCATAAGACGTCCGAACTATCGGCCGCAACAACAGCAGCGGTACTTGCAGGACCGAATTCCCCAAATCTGCGTTGCAATAATTCGACTTATAGCATTTTGTGGTAACTCTTCGGGCTTTTCTACCGATCTGAAGCGTGTGTCAAGTTGAACAGAGCCAGTTCCTCCCCTGGAATACATCCTCCAAAAACACAGCTGGAAAGAACTGAATTCACTAAGTTGGTTCGTCGTAAAACAAAACAAAAAAATATCGCCCCCCGCGAAGAAAGTGCTGAATATCCTGGATACATGCCTGAAATTCAGCATAAACAGGCGTACCAACTGAAACACGGGTGCATGCATCGCCTTGCCAATAAGGGAAGGGGGCACAATAACGACTACGACGACGTGTGGAAGACAATAACAAAAAACAAATGAGTAACATTTCCCCGTTTTGTTTTTGTATACTGCACATGTGGATTTCCCGCAATCGTCCGACCGACAGGCTAAAAATATACACATCGAACTCTGTTAACATACAGCGTGTTTGTTTAGAATGTGTTCCCTCATCTTCCACTGCAAACATCCTACATGTATCGTTAAAACACCCCATATAAAGTTCACTGCTGTTTTCAAGTATCCATGCTCTTCTCTTATTGGTTGCCCTCTACAGGCAGGGTAACCAATTATAAAAGCCCATGGCACACCCTGGCGAAACTGGTCCTTCGGTCCGATATGTATATATACGAGTATATACGTTAGGTGATCTTGAAACCGACTATAGGAAACAGCATTAATACTAGCGTCAGAGCGTGAGGTCCCTCATTGTAAAGTCAGGATCTGCAAGAACTGGTGCCTTACAAGTTCTGAAGCACACATTGAACAACGATGGTAAGTAGATGTGTTGCACTGGAGATAAAGGTTACCCATTTAAAGCAGAGTGGTAACTATATGTACCGCCTAATTCAACACTGATAAAATTCTTTCATTTTAAAGAAACAGCTTATCCAAGCATAGGAAGATTGATTATTGCCCTACACAGCTTCAACTGACTGTTCTTTGTAATGGAAATGCAGTGTGTTTTCTGTGACGTGAAACTAAATTTTCAAGTAGTAATCATCTTTGATGTATCACACGTTTTAAAGTAGATTCTAATCTCACAGGGGTTGTTCAGTAATCGCGGTTAGCTCTTTCTGTGGGACCCAACTGAGTACGTGCCTTCCCCCATCACCTGAGGACAGAAACAGATGCAGTCTCCGAAACGTCACGTTCTTTAGTTTCTAGATTATCGGAAGATGGAAAAGGTCCAAAAACCTAGTAAATATTAATGTTCCAAATTTCTTAATCTGTGATAGTCGGGCTTAATAATTCTTCGGACTTTGTCTATCGTCTATTATTTTGAAAGAACATAACGTTTCAGAAATTGGATCTGTCTCTGTCCTCAGGTGAAAGGTCATGAGGCACCTTAATCTGTTATGTCCTCTATAAAGCTCTAATTTCAATCATTCGACCCATGTTATGAGCGAAGGGAAATTTAACCGGAAGTTTAGTGCGACTTCCCTGCAAGTTTCGCTGATGTTCGGGATCGCTTGAGGAATTCAGAAGTGCATCTCGGATATTTTGAAGAGTGTCAACATGTTATCAATACTTTTACTGTAAATATTAATGCCTTTTAGGTTGTGACCCCGTGTACCTGATAGATGTTTATAGAAAATTCGGAGGACTGTAATACCCCAATATTCAGAGTAAAAAGTAAAGCTATCACTGTACCATGCCGTGAAGGCCCATAGGGGTGTGAGACGTTGAGGGTCCCACATTATCTAGACAATCGGCTCAGAGATGGCGGTAAGGTTGTCAGCCTTACGCGCCGGCCGCGCTTTACTCCCCAGGAAAATTATTTAATTTATTCCTAGTACTCACTTCTGTTAGAGGCTGAATGAACTCTAGGGTCATAATGCGGCTGGATGGATTAGGTCAATTGAAAAAATCCAATGACCTCATCGGGACTTGAACCCGCGACCTTCCGGCTTGTAACACAGCCCCTTATTTTATTCAGCGTCATCGCTGTTGGTATTTCGGATCTCACATATTCTCTGTCACATCTGCTAGAGTGTTTTACGAGCAGTTAGTCACACAGTTCTTTATGTAGTCATTAAATTGTTATTAGATTCTCTTTTCAACATACAATAATATATAATCGTAGTACCGGAAATCTCTGCGAATACGCTGGGCTTTCTTCCCAATACATTTGTCTGCTCTGGTATGACGCACGCTAAGTGATGTTTTAGGCGGAGTATAGTTATGCGAGAATGCTCTGCAAAATATGCGCACATTTGAAACTCTTCGAATCAAGAAAGTGAATTACTATAGGATTCTGACGATGGTGTATAACACACTGAGATATTGGGTTTTCGGACTTTATCCATCGTCCTGGTTTTTAAGATAACTAAGAAAAACACGACGTTTCGGAAACTGGATCTGTTTCAGTCCTCAGGTGAGGGAAAACACCTATTCTGTTGGGTCCTTTAGAAAGAGCTAGCCTCGATCACTGGATCGATCCAGTGAGTGATCGAGGCTAGCTCTTTCTAAAGGACCCAACAGAATAGGTGTTTTCCCTCACCTGAGGACTGAAAAGATCCAGTTTCCGAAACGTCGTGTTTTTCTTAGTTATCTTAAAAACCAGGACGATGGATAAAGTCCGAAAACCCAATATCTCAGTAAGAAAGTGAATTATTCACATCTACCTGACTATGATATTCACATTCCAGAAGACATTAAATTTCATACCCATGAGAATCTGAAGTCTCACTGTAACTCTGTAGGATCGCGAAGGAAGCCGTCTGCAGTTGTGAAAATTATTATAATAAAAATACATACATTGCATCCAGACGCCATGAAAACTTATCCAGTTAATTTTTTACTGTTTTTTTTTAATTTTCCCAAACAAATCGAAAATAGACGCTGGATTTGAGATTCTCACGAAAGTGATCATTAATACGTGACAAAGAATATTATAGAAAAATTTTACCGAAGTTTCGGAGGAACGTACAGCCTCTATCTTCAGGGTCGATGAATAAGCCAAGCAAGAAATCAGCAAGAAGGAAGCAGAACGAGCCAAGCGCAGAAAATTTGCTTGTTGCTTGATGGCTGTTTGCTTGGCTTGTTCTCCAATCCTGAAAGTGGAGAAATTATTTTCGATTGAAACACTCATGAAATATTAAAATACGGGTGTCACTTTCCAGGAAATAATACTCTTCATAGACACCTAGCAAGCTTACAACTATTAAATGAACACTTTAAGAATATTTCACTGGTGTAATATGAATATATACATAAGAAGGGCGAAGGTAATCTCTCCATCAGGCGTTACACAGTTGCGTATGATGAAGCTTTATAATAAAGAGTTTTATTTTGGGGGAAATAACACGTTGTAATCATTTGAAAGTCAACCGATCTTTCGGAGGAATATATCACCATTATCGAAGAATAAGTCAAAGAACAAATGAAAGTGACGCAGGTCTGTTCACTTTCAACATACTGAGTAGCGTTATATCCCAGAAGACATCAGAGCCCTAAAGTGACTGCACCTTGTTACCAATACATATAAACCGCCAACAGAACCAAATCGCGGTGCTTAAGTCTTCAGCGAGAAAGCAGGGAGAGGCTTGGTATGTTTCTGTACCCACATAAAGTTTCAAAGTGATAGGAGGTACAAATATAGACCAGACACTGCGTCGCAGCGTTTCAGATATCGTATAAATATTTACGAGGAGGGGGCCATTGCGCCTTCCTAATGCAAATTCACTTTCCTGTTGAATAAAGAATGAAACTTCCTTGCATCCTAATTGGAATAACAGGATCAAAAACAAAAACAAACAAACTCCGTGGTTCTAGTCTACAAGCGAACTATACCGACCGAGCGACAGCCACTTGTCGGCAAAGTTAGTGCCAAACTTAGCGGATAGAGGGTGTCGCGTGGTTAGTGCAACGAATCCCCACGGCCGTTAATTTCAGTTTTCTAGACCTGAGCCGCTATTTCCATGAAACAGCTCCTCAATTATCCTCCCAAGGCTGAGTGAACCCCGTTCCAGACCCACTACTTCTCACAAAATCTGGTAGCGCCTGGAATCGAAGCCTGGACCTCTGGATCTGTAGTCAGGAACTCTGACCACTAGACCATAGAGACGGTCTCTCACATCGGTAACTTGAAAGAATATAATTTTGTCTTATGTGACGCCGTATATTTAGGTAGACGTCACACTTACAACGAGAATTCTAACTTAGTCTGCCCATATTAGAAAGTAGGAGAAGAAATAAAGTAGCTTTGCTTTTTGAATTCGATATATTCCAAATCTGCGGACGTTGTGAAGAGGGCATCTTCTTGGAACCCTGCAAACGGAGGTAGTATATTCCCTCTAAAACTCTACAAACTCCTATAATTACAAGACGTCTTATCTCAAAAAGGCAGTACCCTTCATCGTCATTGTAGGTTAGAGGGCACAAAATTTTAGGTACTCACGTCGTTAATTGCAAAATTTACTGTATCCTGGGATGTGACGCCGTGTTATCTGGTAGAATGTTACTCTGTCTTCTGCACACAGAAGTATTTGTGTGTTCCGTATGATTCTCACAATATACAGCTACTGTTTCCCTAAACAGCATTAAACTTTTGGTGTTTGTAGCGGAGACGTAATGTATTTCCTGTAAAGTACGAACTGAATTATTATATATAATTTAGAATAAGTTTAGTCCTTCATGAAAATGAAATAATCCAGATACCTCGTTCTTTGTTTTTCCTTTATATAAAAATTTCAAATATCGTAAAATATTTTAATTATTACAAAAATGAACTGCAAATTCCATCAACTTGTATTTACATAAAGGAAATTCCCGTTACACTGAAAGTAAGTATAACTTTTATAAATTCATAACAAAGTAAAACCAGTAATTGCATACAGAACATATCACGACTCCAACCATTGTCACCTTGGTTCACAGCCTTCTGTACTTTCACAGGGCTACGTGAAACATAAAAAAAAATATTGTATCTAAGCATCCTGTTGAAATTTGTATTAGAGTTTGTTTTTAGTTGTTTACCGTTCGCCATGCAAAAATATTAAGCTTTAAAATTCAATCCTTTTTAAAATTCGTCACTGCACTGTATGTTTCGGCCTACCCGGCCATCATGAGGTGCGTTGTTACGATGACAACCACACTGCACACTCGACAGGCAACAAGCGTACCAAAAAGGCAATGCATGTGGCCTAGAATGGAGAACTGTATTGACTTCATTTAGAAATATTATTTATATGAAAACATCGATCGCAGTAGCGCGGGAGTCACGGTATTTCCCCCGAAATTCATCGCACCTGATGATGGCCGAGTAGGTCGAAACATGTAAGGCAGTGACGGAGTTTAAAATTATTTTATTTAAACCTAGATGTTGTTGCACGGTGGACGGTAAACAAGTGAAAATGAACTCAAAATAATAAATGTTTGAAACTTCGTGAATGTAAAGCAACATAGCTAACATTGTAGTAGCTGTAAGCAACAGTGTCTCTAGTTGATGCCTTTACTGGTACCAATCGGTACTATTCTCGTATCTGTGAAGCCGTGTAATCTGGTAGATAGCTACTGACTTTTCGGAGGAATGTGCTGCCATCTCTGGGGTCTTCAATTACGAATATTGAGGCAACATGTTCCTCCAAATTGTCGGTAATTTTCTGACAGATTATTCGCTGTTACGTCCGAGAACAGAACAAAATCTTGTCAGAGATCTAACAGTGCTCCCTTCTCTTTCCGCAGGCTGACGACCTTCCCCCAGAACAGATTGAAGGTAAGAATTAATTAAGGATGTTTATTTCCTTGAAATAGCTCCTCAATTATCCTCACGAGGCTAAGTGAACTCCGTTCCAGACCCACTACTTCTCAGAAAATCTTGTAGGGCCGGGAAGTCGACCCCGGACTTCTGGATCTATAGCCAGGAACTCTGACCACTAGACCACAGAGGCGGTCTCCAAGATAAAGACCAAGTATATGATAATGCACTGCCTGGTCATGGCTATGGTACGCCTCAGAGGATGGTGATAGGTGATTAATATGCAAAGAGGGATTGGTGATTAGCAGGGCAAAATCGAAGAAACTCGTGAAGAACCCCTTCCAATAGGACTTCTACTACAAATTTCACATGAAGTCACCTGGAACCGAACCCGAGGCTCCGCGGTAAGAAGCCTGAGCTACGGACATGTCATTCTCCACAGATTTTATTTCTGTTTCCCAAATAAACCCGAAGACGCAAAAGTTGTGTGTTTATACGAAAGTGATGACATGAGACTGGCATAAAGCCGCAAAAGGTTGACAACCGAAGCAATTATAGACTTTATTTCCCCTTTCCTGCTTGATAAAAAAAACAAAGGTTATTCAACTGCGATTTGTCAAGCCTCTTTCGCGTCAATGTGTCTGGTAAGCCACACACATGTGGTGAAAGTAACTGGTTATCTGCAAGCAAAAGCGGTTTGGTTGTTCTTGACAGACAGGAAGTTGGCCGGGCTCCAAGCCTGTGCGTACATTACTCTATGCCTTTCATTACTCACATAATAAAATAGACTGGTACCTGCACAATAAAAATTATATCTAAAGATCTTAAAATTATACTATACATTTTCTTTCCAAACACAAGAAGACGCTAGCTGCTTTGTGTTCAGGATTCCGTTATTAATTTGTTTTAACGTGTGCTTCATATGAATTCTTGAGCATTGTTTGTTGCTAGTTTTCTTATATCTTGCTGCTGTTTGTGTTGGCGATGCGCCGGTGTAAGTATCTGTAGAAGCCCCTTACACTATTATGCTCGTCATGTTCTTTAACTGTTATGCCCGAATAATTAAGGAACCAGGACAACTCAGCTGGTATAGGGAGAGGCTGGACGGTCGGGATTCGATTCCCGGCGAGATAAGAAATTTTTCACTTCTTCACAGTCTCCAGACCATCTCTGAAGCCCACCGGGCTTCCTCCAACGGAAATTTGAGACTCTTAACGCGGGGCTAAAGCAGCCGGGGCGTGAATCTGACCTTTCACCTCCATTTAGGACCGACTTCAAGAATAGTGGAGCTATACCTCTACCTCCCCCTACACACACGTGCGTCTTCATGGCGTAGTGCTTATTTAATTAAGCACAGAGATAACTTCAGATTTTGTTTTACCTGAATAATTAACGAAGGCTCGAAAGTGAAGGAACTTTATTAGGGATACGCCCGAAGATGGCGCTGGGTTGCAGTGGTTTCGTGGCAGCTTTGCTTCCGCTCCAGATGTACGACTTCTGACAAGACATGGAAGATCGGAACTGTGAGCATCTGTGCCCCTTCTCATACGTTAAGATAACAAACCTAATTTAATTTTGTAAATCTTGGAACGTCTCTACCAGTTCCTTGCCTCCGGATGTGGACATGGCTTTTCGTAACAGAAAACAAATAAAGGACTAAATATGCGTCCATAAAATTATAATTTTTCCTGCACTTCTGTCTTCGTGTGTACTTTGATCTATAACATTAAAGGAATAACAGAGCCTGAGGGTGTCTGAGGGCGGGTTATGTACATGGGAGAGAGAAAAGTGCATGCGAGGTAGTTGAGGTTCTCTCAGCGGTGTTTATGACGGCGAGTTATTTTTTTCACGCTGGTATCTCGCTCGGATTATTCGACCCTGAAGATGGAGGCGATATGTTCCCCCGAAACGTCGGTTGCCTTTTAACGGACTACACGGTGGCATAACCCAGAAAATAGTACTCTTCAAGAATACACGAAGACCTGAAGGAAATATACCACTAGAAAACACCTAGGCATACATATGACGATAATATTAAAACGAACCTTAAAAAAAATATAATGGAAGATCGTAGCGCTGATTCATCTGGCCAAAACACCAATGGGGAACTACTGGGACACTGTAGTGAAACTTCAAATTTCATACAATTTTAGGAATTTCTTGAGTATGTAGCAGCTACAGGTGTCACAAGCACTCAGTTTAATAAAGTTATTTAGTTAGACAAAAATACAGAAAAATGCGAATAATTGCGTTGTTTTTGTTTCTTTTTTTCTTTCGAAATGTCCGTTACCTTCTTCATAAAACAATTTCCAAAACCTTCGGTCATGAAGAAACGCCTGCAAAGAATGTTCACACTGACCCGCCTTACAGAGATGTCGGAGAAGTTGCCGAAACGTTAAGGCGAAGAGTTCGTCTTCCCATGCTTTCTCCGCGATTTCGTGGAGATCTACACAAATGCTACGGCCATGGGACCGGACACCAAAGAAGCCAATTTATGGCACTAGTCGAGGCAGGGATAGGGACAATACCCATGAGGCCACGCAGAAGGTGGGATGAAACTTATTCATATTAAACGGAATATATTTTAGCTAATAAATATTTATAATTTGACGTAATTAAAGAAATAATAATGATAGCTATGTACATATTCAGAGTCAAAATACCGAAGTCCTTCAATAGAAGCAGTGGATAGTCCATATCATTTAGCTTAAATCCAGCTGTTTTAAGAAAATTCAGACTTGAAAATTGTTTTGGACTCAAACAAGGGTTTAGCTTCGAGAGTAATTGTGATGTTGACAGATATAATGAGGACGATTTTGAATAGAATATTATATAATATAATTTACAGATTTTAGAGCAATTTTCTTCTTTAAGGGAAAAATAAGTGTATAAGATCGCCATGATCTGTGTGACAGAACGGAGGCCACAAAAACCCGGGAGTTTTTAATTTCCCAATAAATGTAATAACAATATGGCTGCCGCTCGAAATTCTGAGGTAGAAGCTACAGTACGACACCTAATTTAGAATCCTGAAACGGCGTAAGGAAACAGATGTTAGGAAAGATACGCTACTCATGTTAAGCTCTACGGCCTGGGAGACCGAGGTTTCGGAGTTCGAGTCCCGGTAGAGTCAAGAATTTTCTGTTCTCAACATAGTCCAGACCGGCTCTTGGACTCACCCAGCCTCCTATCCAATGCATATGGGGGGGTTATTTCCCGGGGGTAAAGCGGCAGGGGCGTGAAGCTGACCACTCACCTCCACTTAATGCCGCGGTTAGGAAAATGTGGATCTGTACAGACACTCCCCCATACACCTTCATGGTGTACCGCTTACTTAGTTAAGCACAGGGACAACTTTACCTTTACTCGTGTTAAATTAATGTTTTGCGGAATATATATGTAATAAGACGGCGGCCGCGCCTAAGTCTCCTTTATCTTAAGGCACGAACGAGACAAGTAATTAGTAGCTGAAGTTGGGCATATTAAAACTGGTGCAAACATAGGTCTTCAACTATTGGCGAGGTAAAGAAAACGTGGATCTATACAACCACTCCCCCATCACCTTCATAGCGTAGTGCTTGAGTAGTTAAGAACTGTGCAAACTTTACGGTTGTAGAAAGATGAATCACAAATATGCTAACATAAAATATTTGTAAATTACCATGATAGATACAGAGACAGTGCGAATCGTGGAGGTCAAGACAGACGGATTTAACGTAGAAAGAATTTGTACTTAAATAATACTAAAATTCTTCCGGAAAATAAAATAACAATATTAATATTGAAAACTGGCAGTTTCTCAAGAAGGGCTCAGCTCCATTAAGTTAGTTAATTAGTTAGTTAGATAGGCTGCGCCATAGCTCAAGCGGTTAGTCGCTGGCTTCCCACCGCGGCGGCCCGGGTTCGATCCCGGGTCTGGTCAAGTGGGATTTGTGGTGGACAAAGTGGAGCTGGGGCAGGTTTTCTCCGAGTACTTCGGTTTCCCCTGCCAATCTTAATTCCACCAATTGCTCCACAATCACCCTCACCTATCATCTGGGACTGGTACAATAGGCCAAAATTGGCCGCAGTACAAGGGACTTAGTCCCACCCCACTAGCAATAGAAAAAATAATACTTAGTTAGATAAATCTGTAGGACTAAAAACTATACTTACTTACTTACTTACTTACTCATGGAGCTGAGCACTTCTGGAGGAGCCGCCAATTCTGCAGCTACTCAAGAATTTCCCAGCATTTTATGGAACCAGAGGGTTCATTACCGTGTTCACAAGAGCCCTTGAGGCGTTGTGTTCATTTTCGTAACATGATTATTTTTTACGGTGATGAGTTGTTAGCCCCACACCCAACCCCCAAGCTGGAGGACCACCCTTAGTCTGCTGTCCGCGAGTGCTTATTCAATATATTCGCAGCTTCCCTTCAAACCTGGAGGGCGTCTCCTCCATCCGCAACCTGAGGACGCGCCGTGCTGTGGTGACAAGTGTCCCACCTAACATGGCTAGAAAACTATGCAGCAGGAAATTAACTTTATGAGTCCAACTAGATCCTCCATCCTTTAAAGTATACATCCTGTTATGTGTAATACATTAGCGTTAATATGGCCGTCTACACAACAACGATACCCACAAGCAAAAACAAATCGATACTAACGCATGAACATTCGTTTATTGGGCAAAGGTATTTCCCTACATGTTTCGACCTTCACTAGGTCGAATTTACAATGATTCAATCTTACTTCTTAAATTGTGTTTTTTTAACATGGATATTTATTATTACAATGTATTTCATTTTGAGAGCGAAGACTACGTTTTGTTAAATATAAACTAATAAATACAAATAAAAATACTCTAATAATATGCAGTTTTTAATTAAGTTTAAGATTTTAAATTTGAATTTAATGTTAATATAGCTATTAAGTTAGCTTTAGAGACTTGATTCAAAATAGGCTTAAAATCAGAAGTAGTTTTTGGAGTCGTCAGATTTTTTGCTGTGGTCATAGTTATTAGCTGATAAGCGGCAGGTCGACACAATGTAAGGGGGGGGGGGTTCGTTCTCGGAATGTCTGTCGCGTTGATTTTACTTCTAATCGTCTTGCAATGGTCTCCCAAACATTCTTCCTTTGTCACTCTTAGCCAGTTTTGTTTGCTAGATACTCCACGTCGTCTTCATAACTATCCAAATTTATTTATAGTAAACTCTTTCATTGTTTCATAAGGGATATGATTGCTACAATGTTGCAGTGCTAAAGAAGGCATTCGATGCTTTTGATCGCGAGAAGTCTGGCAGCATCTCTACCAACATGGTGGAGGAGATCCTGCGGCTGATGGGTCAACCCTTCAACAGAAACACTCTCGAGGAGTTGATTGATGAAGTAGACGCGGACAGTAAGTACAAGCAGAACTCTCCTCTCCTGTGTAGCGCCAGGGTGCTTTCAAGCGGAGGGGAAGGGCTGTGCCATGTTCGATACCAGTCCAGATCATGTTGGGTTTGTATTGGATGAAGTGGAAATATGACAGATTTTTCTCCGAGTACAGTACAATGTCGGTAATCCGGCTGTGCGCTAGTCCGACACTTCCAGTAATCCGACATCAGGCGCCAGACAAGCGTCCGCGACCTTGTGCAGGTTTCTATAGGCAGCAGAAGCTGACTTGTGCTCAGTCGAGCTTGACAAACTGATTTATTTAGACCGGCGCTAGTACACAGTGTTACAGTTCTTCAGCAGTATATATTCCTGTACCGTACTTTTCATACAGCAGTGGATTTAATGTGTGCTGAAGATGTACAGTTCTAACAAACATAAACATAAAACTTTAAGTGCTAATGTAGAAATAATTAAGACACTTGACGAAGGCAAAAAACTTTTTAATTTGGCTAAAGAGTATGGTTTAGGACGTGCTGCCATATACGATATCAAGAACAATTGAGAAATAAAAATAAATTTGTTCTTACTTTTTCCGTTAATCCGTCGTTTTCGGTAATCCGGCGGTACCTTAGTCCCATATATGTCGGATTACCATGATTGTTCTGTACTTGGGATTCCCCTGCCAATTCTCTTTCCACCGCCTACTTCACATTGATCAACATATCTTCCGGCGCTAATGGTCTCAATTGTGGCAGTATCATTTAATAACCAACCAATACTAAGTGGGGGATGAGTCGCCTAGGAAGTCTGTTTACAAGTTTACGCCTAAGCCCTTTACGTAGTACGTCGTATCAATATTTGTACAGAGCGCCGCACATTTCTGTGTCTCTGTATTGAATCACAGACGGAACCACAGACTCTGTTCGAGATATTCTGGTACAGTAAGACTATTTGTTATATTTCCTCTCTTTTAAATTTTGATTTTTTAAAAAAGAATCTACAGGAGGAGCAGAAGTCTGACTTGTCTCCCTCCCCCGCCTGGATCTATGCCTGACTAAGAGGGGTCCTGACAGATTTCTGTAAAAAAAAGCACACCTCAATATAAACAGATTGCTTATATGTATATCTGTAGAGACGGAATAGCTCAGTCCGTATAGTGACGGGCTACGGGTTGGACGGCCGGAGTTCTATTCGCGGCAGGAGCAAAATTTCTCCCTTCTCCACAGGGTCCAAACCGGCTCTTGGGTCCACCCAGCTTCCTGTCGAGGTGGTACTGGGTATAATGGGGCAGGGGTGTGAAGCTGACCCCATACCCCCATGTAGTGCCCAGGTCAAGAATGGCACAAATGTATCTCCACTCTCCCATACGTCTTCATAGTGTCGTACTTAATTAATCATAGGGAATACCTCACCTTTTACCGCATTAACATGTCTTTTGCTTATTCTTATTGCTATTTCTTCCACTCTTCCAATTACCCCATGTCCAATATTTCCAATTCCTGCTTAATTCTGCTATCAAGTTTTTTCAGCCTTTTCTTTTTTTCTTTGCTGCCCTAGTTCCCCCACCACACCCCACGTGATTTTTTCATCTGTTCCCATGGATCTTTACCAAGATTTCATCTCTCTCTGATACTTTCCCTTCCAGTATGTCCTCCCCAATTCCATCACGCAGACACCATTCGTTGATGTCACTGGCACCAATATTAAAACTCCGTGGTCTTAGTCCGCAAGTGATCTATACCGAGTGAGCGACCGCCGCTTGTCGGTGAAGTTAGTGTCAACTTTAGCGGATAGAGGGTGCCGCGTGGTCAACGCAACGAATCTCCACGACCGTTAATTTTGGTTTTCTAAACCTGAGCCGCTATTTCCTTGAAATAGCTCCTCAATTATCCTCACGAGGCTGAGTGGACCCCGTTCCAGACCCACTACTTCTCAGAACATCTGGTAGCGCCGAGAATCGAACCAGGACCTCTGGATCTGTAGCCAGGAACTCTGACCGCTGGACCATAGAGACAGTCGACACCAACACTACCCTTTTAAAAATAATTTATTCACTTCCTCTACTTCCCTCCAGCCCTCAAAACTCAAAATTTCAACCACTCTCATCATCCACGGCTTTATTGGCGAAATGTAGAGTATAATTATATGCATGTGTACATATTTATACAGAAAAGGATGTATCCGAAAATAAGAACAGAATGAATTCAACTGCTTGCTTCTAATTGCGAGTTATTACAGGCCTGCAAAATTCTCGAAACATGGGAAATAAAAATTGCATAATTTTTAAACATAATTTGATTACAGAATCTGGACGACTGGAGTTCGAAGAATTTATCACTTTGGCAGCAAAATTCATTATTGAAGAGGATGCGGAAGCAATGGAGAAAGAACTTCGGGAAGCATTCCGGCTTTATGACAAAGAAGGTATGCTCAGCGAATTATTGCGCCGTAGTAATCATGCCGATGAAACGCATTATATACGTACTACAGAAAATTGCATACACTATTTCCAGAGAAGAGGGAAAAAAAATATTCCTCAAAAACCATGATACATTATGAAGTCCCGACACATTTACGATGTTTGTTTGGTTCTAACAGCAGCAAGTATGTCCTCTGGGTTGTAATGTCTCGGTGTCCGTGGGGAATTTTGTGTGCTAATACTGCATTATTGCCTGTTTTCGGCCCTGAAAATGGAGGCGAAGCGTTCCTCCGAAATATCCCATTGCCTCTGTACTTCAGAGCAACAACACAGAAGAACGTACTCTTCTATTATAATATTTTATTTTGGTTTATGGGCGATGTATACTGTGAGTGCTTGATGTTTTGGACAATATCCATGTTCTAACTGTTATTTGAAACGACGTTTCGGAGACTGGACTGTCTCATTTTACAGGTAAAATAGCCTCACCAGACGACGGAAACAGATTCGGCTCCGAAACATCACCTTAAATAAAAATTAAGATGATCGAGAATATACAAAAGAAATCTACATTCTTAATTTAATGTGAGAGACGAAGTTCCACAATCACACAAAACAGCAGGTTAAAACATATTTTGTACAAATTAATACTGTATACTGTCCCATAAACTTGATTTTTACAGATATAGTCCCCAGTATGTGCTTCGGTCTTCAAGCGATTGTCATCAGGTGCGCATTCACATAAAATTGTACAATTACAAAACGAAAATAGTGCTCAATTCTGTAAGTTTTTATGACCAACCCATGTTTCAGGTTGAATCCATATATACAGTAATCATTTGTGACTATACGCAAGTAGGACGCAACCGCTATAAAAGCAACTCTGTATATTATAATATTTCCATTTCTGAACAGCAGGTGGGAAGATCTTCTCTACTGAGAACAGACAGAGACTGAACCTGATGTTCATATACAGAGCGTTCAACCATCGACGAAATCTGGGAGCAGCGCAAAGCGGACCCAACATCACTCACAGATTGCTGTTGCAACTGCCGATAGCAGAATGAGTCATTGTCGTTGATAAACGCGCGCCGTCAGGTGGTATGAGCTTGTCACTGCAGTAAGTCGCATTGATAGTCGGTCTTTGTTAGGGTGTCGTCATTTATACTGAAATGAAGTTCACTATTGAAGAGTGTGTGTTTATTGTCGAAACTTTTGTAAGGAAAAACTTACAGTAAATGTAGCCGTAAGTTTCGTCGTAAATATCATGACTCACCAGTTCCCACAAAGTCGTGTGTATCCATGCTTGTGGGGGGGGGAAAAAAAAAAGTGGTGTCTTCTTTCATTCTGCAGAGCTTCAGTGCCGCGAGGATTATTCTTGTAGACTTCTCCCTTCAGGTTTTCCCCAAAGTTAAAAATCGCAAAAACTGATATCTGGGAGGCCACAGTCCTCTGCTGATTATTTTGTCTTCAAACACTTCCCGTATTGCGACTATGGTTTCATTAGCTGCATATGCTGTAGCACTGTCTTGCTGAAAATACCCAAATTGTCCTTCAGTAGTCAGCTGATTGAAGAACGAATTCAGTATATCATTAACGTAGCGGTCAGAGTTCACGGTTTCGTGGGAAAATAAGGGGCCAATGATTCGCCGCGGACTTACAGCGCACCACAACCCCACCTTTCCACTATGCAATGGCACTTGCTGCATAGCATGAGGATTTCCATCCCTCCATATTCTTACATTTTGTGCACTTACATGGCCACTAACATGAAACCACGCCTCATCAGTCATGAATAGAAGCTGTGGATTCATGATTCAATCATGCACATTTTGCAGCAGCCAGGTGCAAAAACGAATTCTTGCTGCATAATCTGGTTGTTTCAGCTCATGCACAACTGTTGTTTTATACGTGTGAAATGTGATTAATTTTGTGGCTGTGAAAGTAGATCCTAACGAAACACCGATTTCCTGTGCTAAGTGTCTTAACGATTTTCGAGGACTGATCTGTAGTCGTGCCTCAATATCCCGAACTTTTTCTTCAGTCAGCAAAACCCTCTTCGATTGCTTCTTTGTGTTACACACTGAACGTGTGTCCCGCCACTTTTTCACAAGCTTGGATAAACGCGACTTTGTGGCAATGGCGAGTCAGGATATTTACGAAGAGACTTCCGAATACATTTTCTGTAAGTTTTTTCTTTGCCAAAGTTTCGACAATGAACACACGCTGTTCAATAGTGAACTTCATTTCAGTAAAAATGTCGACCGCATATCGACACCTCTAACAAAGGCTGACTATTAATGCGACTTACTGCAGTGACAAAATCAGAAACCTTATCAGCGTTAATGGCTCATTCTGCTATCGGCAGTTATACCAGCACTCGGGGAGAACAGTTCTTTTCGCTGTGCGTTATTGTCAGGTTTCCTGGACCGTTGAACAGTGACACTGAAACGTTATAAGACATGAAACCAGCAGGCATTTCAGGAACAAAAAGAGGAAATATCTGAAAGACAAAATTTATGAGCTTGCAATGAACAGTAAGAACAAGAACATTAGAGACATGTATAAAGGGATAAATAATTTTAAGAGGGGTTACCAACCTAGAAGTAACTTAATGCAGGATGAGAATGGTGTACATAGGGTCAGTGAAGTTAGGCAGATATAAATACATACAGATGAGAACCTGATCCTAGCATTTTTGATGTCGAAAGTGCTATTGCAAAATTGAAAAATTATAAATTGCCAGGTCGTAATCAAATTCCAGCAGAACTTATTCAAGCAGGAGGTGAAATATTAAGTTCTAACATCCATAACCAGTTCACAAGAAGGATGATAAAACTGACTGTAGCAATTATCGGGGGATATCAATGCTGCCAACTTCATACAAATTTTTTTCCAACATTGTTCTCTCAAGATTAAGTCTGTATATAGATGAAATTATTGGGGATCACCAGTGTGGGTTTCGACGTAACAGATCAACTACAGATCAGATCTTTTGCATTTGTCAGATATAGGAGAAAAATGGGAGTACAATGAGACAGTACATCAGCTATTCATAGACTTCAAGAAAGCCAACGATTCAGTTAGGAGGGAAGTACTGTACAGTATTCTGATAGAGTTTGGGATACCCATGAAAGTAGTTAAGCAGATTAAAATGTGTTTAAACGAAACGTATGGTAAAGTCCATGTAGGTAAACAGTTTGATAAATTCCTATCCAGAATGGTCTAAAACAAGGAGATGCTTTATTGCCACTGCTTTTCAACTTTGCTTTGGAATATGCCATTAGGAAGGTCCAAGGAAACCAGGCGGGACTGAAATTAAACGGGACACATCAGCTGTTGATCTATGTCGATAATGCGAATCTACTGGGTGATAATGTAGATACCATAAAGAAGAACACACAAACTTTAATTGACACAAGTAAGGAGGTTTGTCTAGAAGTAAACACAGAGAAAACTAAGTACATGTTCCTGTCTTGTCACCAAAATGCAGGCAAAATCATGACATGAAGATAGGAAACTGATGTTTTGAAAATGTGGCACAGTTCAGACATTTGGGAACAACGATAACAAATCAAAACCTGATTCAGGAGGAAATTAAGAGGCGATTGAACTCAGGTAACGCTTGCTACCATTCAGTACAGAACCTTTCATCTGCTGTACAAAAACATAAAAATGAAAATATACAAAACTATGATTTTGCCTGTGGTTCTCTATGGGTGTGAAACTTTGTCTCTGACATTAAGGGAGGAACATAGACTGAGGGTATTTGGGAACAGGGTGTTGAGAATATTTGGACCAAAGAGAGATGAAGTGACAGGAGGTTGGAGAAAACTGCATAATGAGGAGCTTCATAACTTGTACTCTTCTCAAAGTACAACTAGAATGATCAAGTCAAGGGGGATAAGGTGGGCAGGGGATGTAGCACGAATAGAGTAGAAGAGGAATGCATATAGGATATTGGTGGGAAGGCCAGAAGGAAAGAGACCACAGGGAAGACCAAGGCCTAGGCAGGTGGACAATATTAAAATGGAACTTAGACAGATAGGAAAGCGGCCTCCGTAGTCTAGAGGAAACGTTCCCACCTCATGACTCGTAGTACGCGGGTTCAAATACCCGGCTGAGGTCGTCGAATTTTTAAGGGCGGAAAAATTCAGGGAACAAGTCCTCCGGGAGGGACTTTAAGCTGTGGGTCCTGTGTCGTAGCTTTACAGCATGTAAAGAACCTCATACCTCCAAAGGAGGTCACTGAGCCAAAATTGCGGACGTTTCCCGCCCAACAGCAGTCACTAATACCTCCGGTAGATGGGGGAAGCATTATAGATACCTCTCAGCTAAGTAGAGCCGGTCTTGCTGGCTGGGAGGGACTGATGGTAAGCACCAATACCGGTAGGATATAGAGACTGGTAGAAATCATAGAGGGAAGCACAATGGACCACTACAGGTCTAAGTGCATGGGGAAACCCACCCTCTCTAATAAGTAACTAACTAGACAGATAGGATGGGATGGGAGGGATTGGATTGATCTGGCTCATGATATGGACCAGTGGAGGGCTCTTGTGAACACAGTGATGAACCTTCGGGTTCCATAAAATGCTGGGAAATTCTTGAGTAGCTGCAGAATTGGCGGCTCCTCAAGAAGGGCTCAACTCCCTGAGTAAGTAAGTAAGACGCTGAAACACAGTTACATTCTACTTTAGGCAATGGGTACATCCCTACTTCATGCCTCAGAGAGATCCTACGTGAGCTTGATGACCAGCTGACCAGTGATGAGCTGGACATGATGATCGAAGAAATTGATTCTGATGGCTCAGGAACGGTCGACTTCGATGGCAAGTATCCAAAATAGAAACGTACATTCCTTGTATACTACGTATCTCAGTTTATACATGTGTATACCTTAATTCTGAAGCCAGCGTCAAACCTTGCCATCACTATTCAACATTCTTATTGGCTAGCGCCTAGAGTGCAAAGTTCTGCAAACCGCTTATACTAACTTTGTGGATAAGGTTCATAATCTTTGATTGAATCAATTATGTAACAGCACAAGTTAGGCCAACAAGGTTATGTTACAGAAATGATGAAATTGATAATATATGATGACGGGCAAATAGTTTTGAAACTCATCTTTAATTTCGCGACGGGTGATGTTTGACGCTAGGTAATGCAACAAGACAGAGCTCACACGTATAGTTTGCATAAGTCTGTAGGAACTGCCCACACTGAAGCAAATGTGACAACGCAAGTATCATCGCTTAGCAAGGGCGAGTAAACAGGGGTTGCTAGGCAAAGCGAGTAAACAGCTGTTGTTAGGCAAAGCCTACAACAATACGGAGAGCAACATGTTTTCTATATATCCGACTCTAGGTTATATAAGAAGATACATTGACTGGAGGCGGGGTCAGGCTTTCTCAAATCTGAGACAGCAAAATATGGTCGCAAGTCCCAAGGGACTCAGACCCTAGAAAGACTGCGCCAGCAAGGACCAGCAGCATATACAAAAGACAGACCCGTCCTCTTGTCAGAGAAGGCGCCTCACAGAAACAAGACCGTAACTGGCAAACTGTAATAATTAATATCTGGTCATGAGCCCCAAATGGGGCTCTACACCAAGACTTACTGACTGACTGACTGACTGACTGACTGACTGACTGACCATCAGTTGCAATGTGACTTTGACTTGGAAGTTTACAGTTCTACAATTCTAGGAGTTCACTATTGTTATTATTATTCTTCAATTCTTCAAACTCAAGTTCGTCTGTGTATACTGTGCAGCTGTAATAAATATAGAACAGTTCAGTTTTTCCAGAGGTGAAAATGGATGATAAGGTGGAACAGAAAATAAATGTCAAGTTTTGTGTTAAACTAAAGAAATCACCAAGTGAAACATTGAAGATGTTAAGAACAGTGTATGGTGAATCTACTATGAGCAAGAGTAATGTTTTTAAGTGGCACAAATGTTTCAAAGAAGGCAGAGAATATGTGAACGATGATGAAAGGTCAGGTGCTCCTGTAATGAAGCAAACGGACGAAGATTTCTTGAAAATCGGGGAACATGAGCTGTCTAAAAAATTGTTAGCTTTCAGGATGAGAGCTGATCAGCTTGATATGAGCAAAGAGACTGTTAGGAAAATTATAGTACAGGCTCTTCCCATGAGAAACACTGAAGCTCGTACCACGAAATTTCACCAACAAACTGACAAAGAAGGGAATAAGTCAAAAATAGGCTAAATGTAATAAGATTACTAATGGTGAGTTACCAAATCTAAATTATATGTAGCTCTGAAGAATGGTAAAGAATTATCAGTAGATCCATCATAGAGTGAAACGAAGAGGAATGCATCTAAATTTTGTCAAAATAATCTTTACGCTTTATTAATGTCACTGGAATGCCAATTAAGGACATGGGCTCATTTTCCATCATTATCAGTGTAATATAACAGAAGTTAGCTCAAAACAGAATTTGATGCTGCAGTGTTTTGAAGCTGCCTCACTTCTCAGAATTCTGCAGATTGGTTGATCAGATTCTGAAAATACGTGATAGGACAGTCACATTTTAGATGCATGGTACTAAAAATGTGTGGGAATGAAATTATTAAAAGTAAACCATTCAAAATTGCAAAAATGTGAAATGCCAGACCATGAAACAAAGTAGAGGTGATGAAATTTCCCAGCACACTTAAAGAAGTGGCATGAACACTTGTATACCTTAAATAAAGAAACTACGTTGAAAAGTGTCAGTCAGTGGTCATGTTGTCCAAGGTGTGTACTATTTTCTGTAGTTTCTCCAAATGCCTATAAATGAGATTGTCACACCCAGAAAATCGGAGGACTTTGATCAAACTGGTCCACAGTGCAATACAAAAAGAGACAGACTAAAAAGTAACCATTCTGTAACATAAATTCAAATTCCCAGTCTTGTAAACTAGATCAGTATTGTACTAGGAAGTGTTACATACCAATGTATTTCAGTTTCAAAGCCTGTTCCCATTATTTCGCAATGCCTATCCCAATAATCTGGTACATCACATTCACATCTCATGTATTTTCAATTAGAGCAAAGGAAAAAAAATAGGATTAATATATTTGGCAGTCAACAGGAGAACATTGTGCTAGGTTATATAAAATAATTAAAAATGTGTAATGGTGAAGAAAAATATCATTTATTTTCAAATATAAGCATAAAGATTTGTGGATATTATGAAATGAGACAGATGGCATGGGATAGCATGACTGAAAGCAGGAATTTGACGATTCGGAGACAACAGGAGAAGTAAAAAATGGACAATGTTTGGAAGAGGATGATGCTAATAATGCACTGTTAAAATGTTTGTAAATGAAAATGTATATGGAAGAATTTGTATGTAATAAACAGCTCTGCATAAATCAGGATTTAGGATATTAAAAAAATTAAGGATTATATAAATATTAACTGCTTTAAAAACGTTAGGAAATATCTGTGCAGAACTAGATATGCTTGGGAGGACAAAGTTTGTAGGACACAGCCTTAAGTTGAGGTTATGGGAAGGTACAAATACAGAAATATAGAGTAAATACTACTAGCAGCAGCTGTGGCATTACATTACATTGCATTGCATTCCATGGATCCAAAGTTAGTCAAAATGACTGTAGGATGTGGAATATGTCATATAAATACAAAACATATGTACAGTCCCAATGGAGTTCTCACACAAGAGAAACCAAGAATACTCAGTGACTACACACAAGACTATTTAAAGACACACAAGTTATTTTCTAGACAATAGGTATTCATCAGCAGAGTAGAATGAATGTGTTTCAGTGCTATTTTAAATCGTGCCTTTTCATTCATAAGACCTTCGAGATCATATGGCAGGTTATTAAAAATGTTGATTCCAGCATAATATGTGCTTTTCTGAAAGCATGAGAGGTTAGCAATTGGTTTATGAAGACAAAGTTAAGATTTGTGGTCTCTTAAACAGATCTCTATAGCAATTACAGGATTTGACACCCGTCATGATTCTAACAATTTTCTTCTGCAATGTAAATGCCTTTTTACTGTCAAATGAATTACCCAAGAAAATTATTCCATACTTCATTAAAGAGTGAAAGTAAGCAAAATAGATTGATTTGAGAGCGTCAATGTTACTAAGATGTAACATGAATCTATGCTCTACTTAGCTTTGTAATTAATTGATCAATATGGTTTTTCCAGTTTAAATGATTATCAATTTGCAAGCCAAGGAATTTTGTGTTTACTCCCTCTTCTATATATTTGTGCATTATATCCTATGTTTAATTGATACTGTGGTGAGCTTTTTGTTATAAATTTTATTACAGTTTCTTCTAGGTTCAGGGACAGCTTGTTTGCAGAAAACCATTTACTCATTTGCGAAAGAATCTTGCTTGATAACATGCAGAAATCATCTAAATGTTTACCAGAAATTATAACACTAGTGTCATCTGCAAATATTATAGGTATTGATGAGGTCTTTAGTGTAAGAGGGAGGTCGTTTATATAAATTATGAAAAGCAAAGGCCCCAAAATTGACCCCTGCGGAACTCCATGTTTTATTATATTTTATTATTCCCTATTCAGGTAGGTACTTTGAACTGAATTTGATGATTGTATTTCAAGCGTTTGTTTTCCATCTGTTAGGTAGAATCTGAACTAAGTTAACGTTGTTCCTTGAATGCCAAAAAAAAAAAAATTAAGTTAATAAAATTTCATGATTTACACAGACAAAAGCCATTGCCAAGTCACAGAATATTTCACCAACATGCATTTTTTTATTAATAGATTTCATCATACTGTCTGTTAACTTAAAGGCTGCATTTTCAATGGAAATTCCTTTCCTAAAGCCAAACTGTTCTAGGACTAGTATATTGTTACTCTGAAAATAATGGCTTAACCTATTGTGCATAACATTTTAAAGTACTTTAGAGAAAGTATAGCAGTGAAATTGGCCTGTAGTTTGAGATACTAATCTTGTCCCCTTCTTTATATAGTAGTCTTACTACTGAAATCTTAAGATGATCAGGAAAGATTCCTGTGGATAGTGAGTGATTACAGATGTGAGTTAATGGGCTACTGATTAGAGATGCACAAACTTTTAAAACTGTACTTGTTATTCCATCATAACCAGAAGAGTTTTTTGTTTTGAGGGAATGTATTATACTTATCATTTCAGTTTCAGTGGTTGGAATGGTTTTAATACCAGGGAATTTTCTAGGAAATGCCTCTCTTAAAAATGAAATGACATTATCTCCCACTTCTTGATGCAAGTTTAGATTTTCGGTAATTGTTAGAAAAAAAGTATTGAAGGCATCTACAATCTCCTGGGTCCTCAACTTTTTCATTATTTATAAGGAGAGATGGTATCTGTTCAGTCAGATGTGATTTTCCTGTTTCATGTTTTATTATATTCCAGGTTGTTTTTATCCGATTATTCGATTTTGCTATAAGCCTACAGTAATGCTGCCTTTTAGCCTCTTTTATAACTCTACTCAGGATTTTGCAATACCTTATATAGTATGCTCTCAAGTAGGGATTATTACTGCTCCTGCTGTCTACACACAGATGCCTTTTATGTTTACAAGATATTTTTATTCCTTGTATAATCCACTGGCTTTTTATTCTACTTACACCTTTATTCTGCATAGGAAAACTGGCTTCAAAGATATTTAGAAAAATATATAAAAAAAGAGTTAAACTTATAATTTGTATCCTTATTTTTGAAAACAGGTTCCCACGTTTCATTTTCTAATAGATGCTGAGATTGAGCAATGGTTTCAATATTTATTTTTCTGGTTCTCTGTTTCAAGGGTGCTGAATTTACTTCCGCAATAATATTATTTACTGTAAGAAACTGAGCATCATGGTCAGAGAGGCCATTGACTATAGGAGATGTACAAGAAGAGCTTAACATTGCATTATCTATAGATATTATCAATGGCTGTGCCTGAGGAATTCTGAACTCTTGTTGCGAAATTCACTGTGTGTGACAAATTGTAGGTCCTTATTAAAAGAGTTTACTTGTTTTTTCTGACTGCTTTCATTTAAATACTTTATGTTTATGTCTCCACAGATTATAAACTCAGACTTAGGATTGTACAAATATTTTAAAGTTGCATCTAGTCTCCTTAGAAATTCATTAACCTCTCCTGTACAGGCTTAATATAATTAGGTGAGATGTTTTAGTTACTAGCTGTATTGCACAAATTTCAAAGTCTTGCTCCTTACAGTGATGAGAAATATCAATTTTACTGAAATGTAGATGTCTTAACAAAAATACATACTCCTCCCCTCTGTAGGCTCTTTTGGCAAAAACTTGAGCCTAACAGGTAACCATTCATTGAGAGGAGCAGCAATTCCTGTTCAACTATGTGATGTTCACTTAAACATAATACGTGAGGGTTTATGCTGTCTATTTTTTAAAAGAGTGTAGTAATTCATCACTTTTGCTTCTCTAGCCTCTGTGAATTTGCAAGACTGCTGGACTGCATTTAATATATTGTAACGTGTTGCATTACTGAATACGCCGTAGAGATGGTTAATTGGTTTATTTAACAATCTACAATTAACGGCTACAATTACTTATCTCACAGTTGCAGGGTTTTACACTTTATAACCCTAATCGCATTAATCTGTCACCGCTGTTGCGGGGTTTCACACTTTATAACCCTATGCGCAAATCTCTTAACACTATCTTCAAGAGTCTTCAAGTATTAATAACGTGGCAGCTATACAAGTCTCCCTGAAATACACACTCCAGATATAACTGTACTACAGCACTCACTATGTCTTGGAAGCACACAATAAGTCTTCCGCTCGCTGACTTCTTAGTTATCGCACACTCGCCGGCTGCTATGTTTCAACTGTAGTCTGCTCACTGGAGAACTCTTGATAACACACTCTCGTAGGCTTGCTCGGAACTATCTTCAGCGATGGCCACGTTATAACTCGGAAATGTCTTCAGTACAACTGAAGTCGCCGACTGCTACAGTCGAAACTGACTGGTAGCTGCTGTGCAGCTCACTTATATAGCTGCAGTGCTTGCCTGTTGCGTAATGAGTGCCACGTCACAGTAGGAAGTTGATTACGGGTACGTAGCGTGGCGCGTTACGTCACCGCGGAGGGGTGGGAGGGAGCGCTACGTTACCGCCACGCGCTTGTGGCCTGAGTTGCCACGTTGCAGTTGGGTAGGGAGGGCTTCTCCGTTGCGCAACATGTTACACTGCTCCCTCCTTAAGGCTGTTCATCCCGAACAGCCTAACGGTGCACCCCCGTTCCTTTTCCGTCCCATAGCTGTGCTTGCAGTGTCTCCTGTTGTTTCGGCTATTCTTCTTGCAGCAACTATTCTTCGTCCGTTACATCCACTCCCCCCTTTAGACAAAGCTCGTCTCGAGCGGTTTCCTTTCAGCTCGGCAGAAGATCCAGTCGTGTCCCATTCATCCATCACTTTCTCTCATGGCACACTCACTCTCTCTGGGAAGGCCGGTTCTTCTATTTTACCGGCTCCTCTTCGGTGCCCTGCTTCTTTTTTCGTTTTGGAGGGGGTCGACCCCTCCACAACTTCCAATCCTTGCCGTGTCATAGGCAGACAGAAAATCCGGCTACTCGCTTGGTGATCTGCAGTCTTGCAGTTTTTCTCATGTCTGCTTCCTTCACATATCGCGGCTGTCCGCCGCCTAGGTCCTTCACTTCATTTCTGCGTTGTAGTTGATGTCTCAGGCCTTGGTCCCTGATTCCAGTGTTGCGTTTTGGGCCTTTCCACAGTCTCTTCCCGAACGTCCATTTCTTGACGATTTCCGGCGCGACCTTATTCTTGATTTGTCCCATACGCCTGTGTCCTACACAGCGTGCAGCATATGTTAGGCATCTTGGTGTTTCTGAATTTAATCTAAAAAAGGAGACGCCCTAACATTGGTTATAACAGAAATACCACCTATACCTGACGCATGACCACCAACAGCCCTCTCAGCAATAAGCTGCGTGATCCTAGCAGTAGTACAGAAGAAAGAATGGATGTGGACATACTTGTACATGTAAAGCAAAAACTCTATTGTGATATATAGATCTCTGTATGCAAAGACAAAACTCCACAGACTTGAATCAAACATCTCATACATCACACTACAGTTACAAAATATAAAGTAATTCATTTTGTTTTCCTGCTTTCCAGAATTCATGGAGATGATGACTGGCTAAGGGCAATGATCACCGCATACAAACATCATGCCAAAAGACATATTTTCCAATTTTTGTTACAAGATGTATTTTCTTTTACTTACATAATTGTGTCTAGTATTGTCTGTATTGATGTGTTTGTGAAGTATTATGTATGTATCTTATGATAAAACAATAATTCCAAATAAACAAAATTCCAAATGGAACCACAAGGAGGAAACTTAGAAGACATTATTCCAGTAATTATGAAAAGTAGGATATAAAATAAAGTTTTCTTTTAAACACACAAATAATCAGTAACAGCAGTATTTTGTTAATGATCCCAAATGTTCTGAAGATAAATTTCTGTATTCAAGCTTCCTCTTTGATTCTGATGAAGTTTATGTGGTCTTAAGTCATACCTGTCCCAGTCACATTCAACATTCATTTCTGTTTTATGATTTGGTGCTAAATATAGGTAATGCTTTGTAGTGTGGTTACCCACATTTCAGAGGAACATAGCATCTGTCTTCACGGCAGTGTCCCTGAAGATGGATGAAGTATATTCATCTGAAACACTGGTAATCTTGTACCACACCACACGATTTCTTTCCAGAACACAGCAATCTCACTATTCATTACTGTCAGAACCTCAAATCCCATTCACTACCTTGTTCACAAGAACCTGCCACTGGTACCTATCCTGAGCCAGATGAGTTAAGAGTCCACACCTTCCCTGTATATCATTTTCCCATCTATGTCTAGGTCTCACAAGTGTCCCTTCCCTTCAGGCTTTCTGACTAAAATTCTGTAAGCATCTTATCTATCACATGCATGCAACATATCCCAATAATCACACACTTCATTCTATTTTATGGGGAAAAAAAATGGATAATTATGAATAGCATAGTAGGATGAGAACAGTGATGGTCTAGTTTATAGGGCTAACCCAGCATTAAAAAGGCTTAAGTATGCACATATGGAACAGGTAAACTGGGCTATATTACAATAACCTATTAAGCTCATCAGGGAGGCAAAGGTTACACTTAAAAGGACAGTATAGCCAAGAAGATTAAACTCATTATAGCAATTTATTTCAACAAAACAAATGCCATGCCTGTAGTTGTACTGTTTCAACCAACCAGTCTTTTTTTTTATTTTGGAAACAGCAAAGAAAACTTAAATCTTGAAAATAGATTCAGCATAGTAAAGGCATTTCAAATTACACTGCTTACAACAATTTCTTATAGACGGTGAGTCATGTGAACTTGTAAGAAGTAGAAACAACAGTGAAACTTAGGTTTGCTTCCATCTCACCAAAGTACTCCTGAAGAAATATACAATGCAGACCAAAACCTGTTTCCTTACAAGATGGGATTTATCACTCACAATAATAGTTTAAAACTCTTTAAAAATATCCTTCTAGTACTTTAAATATCTTGATTACATACTGCTGACAACACAGAATAGCTGCCTTTATACAAAAAAAGAACAGTGAGTTCTGTCATCTGCTATCTAACACTGTGTAGTCTGTTGAAAGTCAATCGACATTTTAGAGGAACATGTTGCCTCACTCTTCAGGGTCTAAGATTAGGCTGACATCAACTGACTGCAGAGCATTACATCCAAGAAACTCTTCATAATCAGTTATGAGAATCTCAAATCCTACTTACATAATTTTGGCTTCACACTTCTTTACATAAATAAAATAAACATTATGGGTTTTTTATTTCTTTTATTGCTGGTGGGGTGGGACTAAGTCGCTTGTACTGTGGCCACTTCTGGCTATTGTACCAGCCCCAGATGATAGGTGGGGGTAATTGTGGAGCAATTGGTGGAATGAAGATTGGCAGGGGAAGCCGAAGTACTTGGAGAAAACCTGCCCCAGCACCACTTTGTCCACCACAAATCCCACTTGACCAGACCCAGGATCGAACCTGGGCCACCATGGTGGGAAGCCGGGGACTAAGCACTTTAGCTATGACATGGCCAGACTTTATGGGTTAGTAGGCACAACAGACCACTTGCGTCACGGTGCAAGGGCCAAGAAGGCCTACCCCTCATACTCGTACATTCATTCATTCAAGGTTCTAAATGGTGTGTTAATGCAGTAAGGGCTTCTGGAGTGACCAGTCTTGTGAAGCTGGAATTAGTGTCCACCTTATGGAGACTGTCTCAGCAACAAGAGTTGATGTGATGAGTGATGTGGCCACATGGATTTATAGCAAGAGCACTGTCTCAACTGTCGCAGCAGAGACCGACGGACGGTCAGTCATACAGTGGTCCAGACATGACACCATCTGACTCCACTAACTGTTCCTTCAGCAGTCCACACTGGGACAGCCAAGAGCATAAATTGTTGACATAAGTGTAACATGGGACCAAATCATTCATCACATGAACTCTTGATGATGAGGATAGTGAAGACCTCCAAAATGTCCGATACTAATTCCATTTTCACATAGCTGACTGCCCAAGAAGTCGTCACATGCCGAGGCTGAGAACGAATGTTATAACTTCTAGCACAGGTATAAAAGGTTCTAATTTCAAAAGTCAAAACGTATTTCCATTACTTCATAATTTACCATACATATTTCAATTCAACAAGTGATCTGGTATAAAATATGAAAGAAAACTACATACCATTCTATATTTCACTGAACTGGCACATAAAGAAAAAAGACTAGCAGTTCCTTACAGCACACACTTCCTACCACAACATAATACCGAACTGGGGCACAAAAGAAAACACCACACTCAAGGTTTTATGTCGCAACACGCAGTCACTTCTGTACGACTGCAATGGTACATAATGAAACTGGAATGCCAACTGTGTAAACAAACCGATGCATCTGTAACAAGTTCTGCTGCCTCTGTTAAATCCCTGACGTATCATAACAGAATAATTTGGATAAAAGAAACACCATCCTTCATCACTGCTTTAACATAAAATTTCAGGGTTAATCACCAGCTTCTCACTGCAGTGACCAAGGTTCAAACCCATGTCAGTAATTTGGAGAAAGTGGCATTGTGACACGTGTTCTCCAAGCATTTCAGTTTCCCCTGCCAATTCTAATTCCACCAAATGTTCCATTTCTCTCACCTATCATCTGGGGCTGGTACAACTGGGTTACCAAAAGGCCTGATTTCCGAGGGGCTCAGTCTCACCTTAGCCTAAGAATAAGAGTGAAATCTGAAAAATGACTGATGATCCGTTGCGTAACAACAAACTGTAGGAATGGATCATGCAGATCACCAGAATTTTGGTGTGGTAATGTATGGTGTAACTGGTCCTGGGTGTTTTCTATACAATCTTTTATCATACTACATTAAAAGATGTGGAAAATAACATAACATCTAAGTACAATGTATGCCTTCAGACCACTTTACTAAATATCCTAATTCTGTCTTTGAGCGATGGCACCATGCGGAACTGGACTATGTTTCCAACACTTGAACCTGCTTCCTCCATTTTCAGAGTAGAAGCATAAGCCAAGCAAGAAAATTGCACATGATATATAGGGAGGTACGGGAAGAGTTGCATTTGAGCCAGTAGGAATGGGTCGCCCTTAAAAGGGCTTTTAATGTTGCAATGAATTGGTCCCTGTCTTCCTTCCCTACATGTCATGTACCACATTCCTGCTCAGCCACCTTAACGAAACAGGTTCCTGTTAAATGTTTGCAACACAGCCCTCATCCGTACAAAAAAGGGGCAACATACCATACTGATAAGATGTATGAAAAATGTACACAGACTGATAAAAAGACTGAACAAGAACCTAGAATGCACAAAAAACTGCTGGTGGATACAACATAATGAAAATGTACAGCATGAAGATGGTGTGGCTATACTGAAGGCGACTATGACTAGCAACTCATCTGATGAACAGATAACAAGCAACACAGGAAATTGTGAAACCAATTTCCTGGCATGATTATTATAAAAATATTAATGCTCTTTGCAGAGCGATACCACTGAGTATTTACACTTTCAATACATATAACAGACATTTAAAATAATATCAAGTTTTCATTAAATGTTAAGAGTCTTCAGTTCATAACTACAGGAGAGTAGTAACAGAGAAAACACTTCAAAAGTTACCAGTAACACATGTGATAATAGGCTTTCCATGAAAATGCAATTGTCACTATATTAATCTCTGGATAATAGACAATAAATTCTGAAAATCACTATGTGAAAGTATGATTAGAAATTGAGAAGTTTTTATCTCTATTTGTAGGTTAATTATTGCTGACAAGTACAATACTAACTCATATGCAACCTACAAGACCAATATTACAGCTTCAGTGAATTCATGTTAAAATACATATGAAAATGAACACGTCAGTTCACAGTGGTCAATCAAAGCCACTAATTTTATGGGGCTAAATGAACTTTCTTGGTATATCTTGTTAAAAATTCATGAGAGACTAAAAGGTTTGAAAGAAAAGCTGTAAAATCTATAAATCAATTCATATTTTACATGTGTACACACCTTTTAGATACAACACATAAAGATGAAAAACAACATAATAAAAGAATGATCATAGCAAACAAATATCAGGTGAACCTAAGTTTAAGAAAAACACATAAAAGAATAAAATTGTGACAGGACATGAAACCTAACAGCTGACATATTCCTGATAAGGAACTACATTACTTACCTGTAACAATAACCTGAGATGCAATATATGGTTTAAATATTATAAGATATTGTATGCTTTAATCACTAATTATGCAGACAGTCATAACAATCATTTCTATGTGACTGATTTTTGTTAAGCCTTAATTATTACAGTACTCCACCAGTTACATGAGTAATATACCATAATTTCTTAATATTTTCATAATAAAGTAATTCCATTATGTTCCAACTTTCCCCATCCTTTCCTCTTATATTAATTTTTTTGTATTCTTATATTCCCAAATTCTGCTTTTCTAAGCATACCATCCAGCTACTGGTCTTCTGAATAGCTGTCTTCATTTTATGATCTGCTTCCAAAGATTCCTTCAGAACTCTGTCATTTTCTACACATAACTTGTACAAACCATTCCGGCCTCAAACTCTGTAATACACAATATTACTACAATAATATTTAAGTTTAATTTTAATAACTTGTAAAACACAGAACTTAAGTCTATTTGGTACTAAAGGAAAAATATGCTTAATTTATAAAAACAAAATATAAGAACACAGGTAAAAAGGTAAAGCTATCCCTGTAACAGGCCATGAAGGCCCATTGGGTTGTGAGACATCAAGGCTCCCACAAATTAGTCTAGACCAGGGGTCGGGGAACTTTTTTACTTATTACCCCAAAATATATTTATTTACGCCGACGTTACCCCCTTGATTTGAAAGAGAGAAAATCATAGATTATTATTCAGATTCAAAAGGTTTGTTGAATCTATTTATATGGAGAATGCAATTATCAATATAAAAAGTATAAAATAAATGCGATAAAATACGAGTAAATTAATATCCTCATTATGAAACAAAAAGATTTCTTAGAATTTTTTTTTTTTCACTTAAGGTTTTGGAGAAATGATGTTGTTTCATTTTTGATACATCATCATCAAAATTGGGACATTTTGATGTCAGAGCAATTTGCATACTGTCTTCGGGGTCCAATCGATTTCTCTGCTTTGTTTTTATGTTCAGTAGAGTGGAAAATCCTTGTTCGCAAAGGTAGGTTGTTGCAAAGGGCAGCAATTTTTTGACTGCCTCCTCATGTGCAATTTTGAAAGCATTTGCAGCTCTTGACATCCAAAAATATGACAGATCTGCTTTGTTTTCAAATTCAATACGTGCTTCATTATTGGATCGAAGTTCAAGAAGTGCCTCTGCCAACCCTTGAGGCTCTTCTGGTACATCAGCAATTTCACATTTAAAGGGATCTACAACCCAACTGACATTATGTGAATCAAGATCTGGAAAGTAATCATCGAACCGCTTTTTGAGTTTGGTAACATGCCTTATAACTGTGTCCTTGATGTCGTCAAAAGTAATATTTTCACAATCTTCCAAAAACAAAGCCAACCTTGAAAAGGCAGCAATCTTGTTTTGTTCTGCTTTCTGTCTCCAATATACTCGTAAAAGCTTTGATCCAAACGCTATCGTCCACAACATGTTGGGTGCGTTTATCTATAGAAGTGTTTAGTGATGACGTCACGCTGCCATGATGGACTCTTAAACAATTACCGTAGCAGCCGTTGTTATGGATGGTTATATGCCGGAAGAAAAATTTCTGTCATAACAAGGAACGCGTTTTTTATACAATTTAATTTATGTCTATTGAGTCCTCATTACCCCCAAGAATTTCATTTTTACCCCACTTGGGGTAATTTACCCCGGTTCGCCGACCACTGCTCTAGACATTCGGCTCTGATGGCAGTAAGATTGTCAGCCTTATGTGCCAACTGCTCTTTACCCCCAAGAAGACTCTAGGTACTCATTTCTGTTAAGAGGCCGAGTCAACCCCAGGGCCATAGCGCAGCTGGAAGTATTAGGCAAATTGAAAAAATCCACCTCATTGGGACTCGAAACTGTGACTTTCCAGCTTCTAGCATAATGCCTCAACCAACTATGCTACCATGAAGAGCACAAGATAGTCAAGGTGGTTTTATCCTGGCTTAATTAATCCATACCATGAAGACTAATGGTGAAGTGGACATATAGATCCATGTACTGACCTCTGCAATAGATCAGAGTGGTCAGTTTAATGCACAGCTGCTTTATTCCTGCAGGCAAAGCCCTGGTACCCATTGGATAGGAGGCCAGGTTGGCCCCAGAGCTGGTCTGGACGTTGTGAACAGAAAAGTCTCTTCCACCTGGCGGGTACTGAACCCCAGCAGTATACTCATAGCTATACTCGCTTAATAGAAAAAACTTTTCAGTTATACACTGCATATTATGATAATTTTATTTACTCATTAGTAATGCAGTGAAGGATCTATTTTGCAGTGTTTTACTTTGAATATGGAATGGTAAGACAGTGCAGAAATAGTGATTTTTTAATATACCACTAGCAAGTAATTTATCTCTAACATAACATACAGAGTGTGTCAATGAATTTGGCAATTTGGCAGCAGTGTTTTTTCATAGATTGGCTCGAGTGGGAGGATGCCACTACTGCCACCCAGCAGCCTACTTCAAAGCGTTTTAGTTGCAATGGTGTCGTGGACTGGAGCACAACGTGCTTTTGCTGTGAAAGCATTTTACAAAAACAGTGAGTTTCAGGATCACTGAGCATGAATTTCAAACAGAGTTTGGTATTCATTGCAATCGTGCTGTTCCATCTACCCATACCATCAAGACCTGGGTTCAGAACTTTGAGGCTACTGGTTCTACACTAAAGAAGAAAGGTAGTAGCATAAAAACAGCACATACACCCGGGAATGTAGCGGGAGTGAGAGAACCCATTGAATAAAGTCCACGTTGGTCCTTGCATCGCCATGTTACATCACTCAGGCTGTCCGAAGCCAGCGTTTGACGGATTTTGCACAAAGACCTCCACTTCTACCCCTACAGAATTCAAATTACTCATGCACTACACGAACACAACTATGAAAACAGAGTCGATTTCTGCCAGACTTTTTTACAATTAATTAATCAAAACCAAGATGTTGTTAATAACTTACTGATGAGCGATGAAGCTCATTTCCATTTATCAGTGTTTGTTAACAAGCAAAATTTCCACTATTGGTCAGCCACAAACCCCAAAGAAATTTATGAGACCACTTCACAGTTCCAAAGTCACAGTATGGTGCGCGATATCTTTGTTTGGAATTATTGGCATGTACTTCTTTGAAGATGAGTGGGAAAGGGTTGTAACTGTGACTGGACCACGTTACGTTCACATGTTGGAGAGCTTCTTAGCTCCTGCACTTGCTCATCTTCCAGTCAAGGAAGAAACGTTTTTCCAGCAAGATGGGACTATGTGCCACACCACACAAGCTTCCATGGCAGTTGTTAATAACCTGTTTCCTCATCGTGTTATCTCCAGATATGGGGACATCATATGGCCAGCCAGGTCACCTGAGCTTTCCACATGGGATTTTTTTATCTGGGGATATATGAAATCCCAAGATTTCAAAGCTCCAGCACCCCACACAGTTCAGTAGTTGAACATAAAATTTGGGAAGAAGTTGAACAAATTCCTGTAGAGATGCTGCAAAGAGTAATGAGTGACTTTACGAAGAGACTTACCGAGTGCCTACAGCGGAATGGTGGTCATCTGTCGGATGTTATTTTTGGGAAATGGACTTCTGTTTTCAGTGAGTTAATTGAGAAAAACCAAATGCTTTTATGTTTACACTGTATTCATATATGTTAAAACCAAATAAATGCAATAATTCACTGTTCATAAAGTTTTTAAAATTGCCTGATTCACTGACATACCCTGTATAATGTGAATGATTTCCAAGAATTTGTTTAATTTATAACGTCTATATAAGTCATTTTTACAAAAGTATTGTAAATTACTTTGTAATTTAATTACAGTGTACATAATTTGTCATCCTAAACAAAATTTGTGGGAACCGCACACACTAAACCAAGCGTTGTAACAACAATGTACTTATTGTACAATCATCACTATGAATTATTCATTGCTATGCAATGAATCAGTAATGAAGGTATCCATGGAACCAAATCAAGATAACACAGTAACAGAATGGTACCCCAAATATGCGTTACATGGTTGGAATGAAACTATTTAAGGAAGGCCCCTATCCAGAGTCATTATCCCATGTGAAGGCATGGTCAAATACTTCCACCATAACCCTGCAAGTCATAGGAGTAAACAAAAAGGGAAGTCTTGAATCTGGGACAGTAAAATATGGTAGAAATCCTACAGGGCTTGAACCTGAGAATGACTGCGCTGGTGAGGGCCAGCAGCCATTGTAAACAACAGACCCGTCCTCTCGTCAGAGAAAGTGCCCCACTTCAACAAACCTACAACTGTCTAACAGTAATAGAAATCTCATCATAAGACCCAGATTGTTGGTTTATTCCAAGACAGACTGGCCAACTGATTGTCAGTTGTAACATAAGACTCAATTCGAAAGAATCAATCTTCTTCAACCAACCTACCTGCAGCCTTCAAGTCTTCAACTTAACTTTGTCTGTATATTCTGTATAGCGACAATAAATAATCGTATAGAAGTTTAATAAGTGGTTGTCTCTTCACACATCGACAATCCCACAAATTAAAAGAAACGCAGAAAAATACAAATTGAGAACTATTATAATATGAAGGTACAAGTAATTAAGCACTATACCATGAAGACATACTGGGGAGTGCCCATTACATGCACCATTCTTAGCCTCAGCACTACATGGGAGTGGGCAGTTTCACACCTCTACCACTTTACCTCCAAGAAAACAGTCCCTAATACCCACTGCATAGGAGGCTGGGTGGGCCACAAAGAGGTTCAGGAATCAAACCTCAACTCCTCAGTCTTCCAGCACATAATCTGTTCGCCGTACCAACTGAGTTACCCCAACTCCTCTATTGTTACATTCTAAGAGAAAATAGTACTCCTTGGTCATTTAATTCATTACATGAATACTTAAAATTGAGCTAATCTATGTGAACAATGGCCTCACATACACATCAAGATGGACTGCAGTCATCTCTAGGCCTTGAAGTACTGAGGGAATTCATTGGAGATTTCTCGCACCAACTGCTGATCAGATTTGCTTTGTTCCGTTTCCTCGCAGAATATTCTTGTGAAGCATTTAAGGATGTCATCCCGTCGATGGTGGTGATCAGAGTAAGCTGTGTTTCGCATTACCAGCCGACACAATTCCAGATATTGGTGTCTTCGCTAAAACAGTGAACAAAGTGCAAAGAAATCACATGTACCACACATTTTTAATAAAATGTGACTAAGCATCCATCATGTCATTATTAACAACTGCAGGCAACAATAAAGTATGAGGTTATGGCGTATTCCAATGGCATAACATCAAAAAGAAATTGACCAACACAGATTCTGTATTAATATTAATCCCAAAAGGCTGCATTAAATCACAAATATACAATGTCATGCAAAAAAAAACTAAACTTATATCATTAAGGTTCATTAGTAATAATTCTTTGAAATTTTAAGTAAGATTTAAATATCCTGGGGTCCTCAAACCTCCTTATTCACATCAGAAGGGCCTCAGACTACAAGTGGTTGGGAACTACTTGCCCATAGAATGTCTTTCAAAGATGCATACATACAGTTCACATGAACTTAAAAGCAAAATCTGATGTACATGAATCAAAAACTTAACCCCCCTTTGAATAACTATCCACAGACTTCAGTATTCTTTAAAAATACAACTACAGTAAACCCTCACTGTAATGAACCCAGATATGACAGAATCTGGCTGTGTACAACTGTGAATCTTTTAGAAACATGCAGACATTAAGAGTGTTTTGTTGTTGGAAAAATATTTAAAATTAAAAAAACAATATAAAAATCTTTATGTAATCACACTGTGTTTCCATGCTTATTGCCTGTATTTTTTATGTATCCTATGGTGTACTTCACTTGGGTATAGCAGACCTCAGCAATAAAAGCACCTTTCCCCCTTTATTAGTCCATTATAATGAGAGTTTACTGTACAACGTACCAGGCAGAAGTTAAGGCTTCACAAGGTTCAACACTTAGTATACCTCAACTAGTTAACTTCTAAATACTAAAAGGTAAAAAGGTAAATGTTACCCTGTGCTTAACTAATTAAGCACCATACCATGAAGACATGGGGAAGTGGAGGTACAGCTCCACCATTCTTGACCTCAGCACTAGAGTGAGGTAAGTGATCACCTTCATGCCCCAGCTTCTTTACCCCTGGGGAAAGAGCTCCCGGCATTCACTGGATAAGAGGCTGGATATGTCCTGCAGCCAGTCTGTATGCAACTGCATAGATACAAGTCTCTTGTCTCTGCCAGGAATCGAACACCGGCTCTTCAGCCTGTAGCCCTTCACTATGCCAACTGAGCTATCCTGGTTCTCAGTTTCTAGAGACTACACTGTTGACACTTACATTGTCTCCAGGTGACAGGTCAGCCAGCTGTCTGACAATGATATCAATGAGCACCTTTGTATCATTTGTGTAGAAGAGTGTAGCTGTCTGAGAGGTGCTGAACAGATCCACAAACAGCTTGAGAACTGAATGAGGTGGAGCAGGCTGATGCTCAAAAATTCGAACAGGATCCACTACAGCAGCCCAAAACAAAACACCATACCTTGATAATCCACAAAGTTCATCAGCAAGCAAGTGAAAGAACGACTTTTCAGTTCAAGACAAGCTCAAGATCAGAATTCTGAAAGCTTTTTGAGAACTGAGATGAGACTCTTCTCCACCTATTTTCCACTGTAATCATAATTTGTATCACCTGCCACTTTTCACACTGCAAAGTGAACAGCGTCCTATTTTCAGGTGAACCTCAGTCATGCCAATATTGCCAACCATTACAGTTCTGATGGATGGGCTATATTGCATGCTACTGGCAAAAATGAAAGACAGTTATCTGAAAATTCTCGAAGTTTTAGACTGAAAATTCATCATTTTTATTGAAACATTTTTCCAAATCTAACCTTGAAAATTTGAGGTTTACACATACTTTCTCATGAGCAAAGTAATCCTGTCAGTCTTTCAACACTTGTCATTTTGTCATTGAAAGTATGCAGACTGTTCAGTAAGGAGTAATCATAAATTCTTTATGCAAATAACATAAAAGGACAATTACAAAACTCATACGAGCAACTGCACTTGTCTGTCCATCACTGTGTACTTACACAGAATTATGCACAGCAGCCTACTAGAATGATAGGAGTGCAGGTGAACTGTGTTGCAAGCCATGACCAGGAATGGCTTTATGAAAGAAGCATCCATCAATCATGATTTTCCCTCAGAGTTTATATACCCTTTCCTTCAATAGTGGGCTATTTTATGATGCTGTCAGAAGCTAGACTACACAGTATCAAGTGGTAGGATGGTAGATAATGCTCAGTCATCAGCAAATAATGACAGAACTCCACAAGATATAAGGATTCTATCATTGTGTTCAAATTGCTTCTTGACATGTTAATATTCACAAACACTTTCAGCTACATAGGGCCGCATCACAGCTCAAGCGGTTAGTTGCTGGCTTCCCACCGCGGTGGGCCGGGTTCGATCCCGGATCTGGTCAAGTGGGATTTGTGGTGGAGAAAGTGGCGCTGGGGCAGGTTTTCTCTGAGTACTTCGGCTTCCCCTGCCAATCTTCATTCCATCAATTGCTCCACAATCACCCTCACCCATCATCTGGGGCTGGTACAATAGGCCAGAAGTGGCCGCAGTATAAGGGGATTGGTCCCACCCCACTAGCATTAAGAAAAAAATTAAAAATTCAACTATATAGAATTTTATGACTGAAAATTACATATACGTGATGCAGATAAAAACATACATGCAAAATGACGCGATGAAATGCAGAATATTGACAGAGCTATATTTTTAAATTCAGTTCACATTTATGTTCATATAACCATTCATATACAAAAAAGAACTGGTTTTAGGTTACTGCCATGTCTCAAACACAAGGTTTCATTACTTTCATGACCAAATACCTCATTGCTTTTTAATCACTATACTGTAAATATGATTTGTAAATTGCACAAAGCAGGGAACTCATGCTAAAAATAATACTACAAACTTATGGGATGCATGTAAGGTTAGTAATTATAGAATACATGTAATCTGCATGGCATATGCCATGAATATCTATACCCTTCACAGTCCATATGGGCTAGTGTGTGGGCCACTGTTCAGTGACTGCCTTTCCTCACCTTCTCTGTTGAGGAGAAGTAATGTCTTCTCAGTAAAACTTTTGGCTAGGGGCCTTTGCAACAGAGCTTTCAGCATCACGTTCTCAACATCTGCTGCAAACTGCAGATTATAAGCCAGCACCAAGTTCACGAACAGGTCTGGAATCTGCTCTTCCACATCAGTATCAGGAGGACATTCAATCAGGTCGAACAGGAATGACACAAAGTCAAGACCTAAATGTTCTAGAAAATTACACATTATAATTAATACTCAGAACATCTCCATCTGAGTTCCCTATAATAATTTTTATGAAATGGTTTATAATCCAGATTTGAAGATTACTGTCTTTTTAAGAAGTGACTGCATGTAATTTGGTCAATATTTACCAATATTTTGGGGGAAACAAGGGAGACAACATTTGAATAGTTAAAAAGCAATGATAAAGACTGAAGCAGTTGATGAAAGCCCTGTACTAATAAAAAAAAGAACTTTCTGAACTGCAGGGAAAGGATTCAGCCTGCACGTTCAACATATGCTTCATTATTCTTCTACACTGAAGATGAAAACGTGTTATTCTGAAATTCCAGTAAATACCTACCACATTATTAGGTGTAATATCTCAGATGACATTAATCTCCATAGTCACTACAGTGAGAACCCCAATCAATTGTGTGACCTTGAAGAGTTTCAGAAATGAATGTTTCCTTCACAAAATATTACAAGCTATAAAAGACTCTTGGAACATTCCAGAGAAGTCTTGTAGTTATGTTCAGTTTAGAAGTGTAAGGAAACAATCTGCAGTTTCAATCAGATCTGAGATTCTTATTGCAGTCAAAACCATTGTGTGCATTTTGAAGTAACCTGCCGTTTCCTTATCAAGGAAGATGGAGGCAAAAGGTTTATTTTAAATAATCATTAACAACCTGTGAAAATAACTTTCACTTTCTTTGTACTAAACTTTTGGTAGCAGAAACATTCATTCCCTTAAAATGCTCAAATAGAATGAAAAAGATTTGAATTCTTACTAAGCTGGTATGTCCTTGGCTACAAAAAATCATCAAACAAAATTTGTAAAGATATTCCAAATCCATTGCTACACCATATTTTGCGTTTGTGATGGGTGACCTAACATCACAAAAGTAAACTGTAAATGAATATTTGTATGGTACTATGTTATTGTCCAATCTCCACTCTACAATGTTGCTGTGTATGTCCTCCCCACAGGGGTGTGTAGTTACTGACTTCACCTGATCAATAATTACACACCTCTGTTAAGAGCACGCACACATGCACATGCTCACCCACACAAAGGGAACTTAGAACACCTGAGGAAACACAACTCAAATCTAGCCTTTCTGCAGAGAATCAGAGACAAGGTCATCTCATCATAAGCTACAATCAACCCTAAATGTGGAGAAAAAAATGTATCTCTGAAACAACAAAATGTTGCCCACATCCAAGAGCAGAAATGGCATCAAGCGTGTTTTCAGTGTGAATTTATAAACCCATAAGACAACCAAAAAGTTAAATGTCAACTGCTTCACTTAACACAAGTTATCATGCATATACAAAGAGGTTCAGAAAGATTAGCATGGGAGCAAACTTTACTCACCCATGTGTGTGACTGGCATGGGTTCTCCCATTGAAAAGATCATTGAGAGCAGAAGTGAAGAGTAGTTGAGACGTGGTATATCCCTTGGATTGGTTCGCATATCTCTACAAGACAAAACCCACTAATAATGGAATACTGTTAAATGTGACTATGTATAAAATGTTTTTCTTAGATACAGAAAGTTGAAGATAACAAGAAAACACATGCAAAAATGACAAACCCAAGAAAGATCACAAGTTCTGAATGAATGGACTAAAGACCCCGAATATACCTGGGTAACTCACCAGATCCTTCAAGCTTTTGATATGCAATTTAAAGTGTTGCACCTTGACACTGTAGAACTACGATGAGTGCTATATTCTGTGATGTGACACTGTGTAGCCCAATATAAGTTCACCAATGTTTCAGAGGTACATTTTGCCTACACCTTTGGGCAAAGACATGCTAAACATGCAACCTACTTTCATGGCATCTCTTTGACCCTGGGGATGGAGGCAATGTTTTACTCTGAAATATTGGTGAACTTCTATGTCACTACATGGTGTCACATCCCAGAAAATGACACGCTACATAATCATGGCTGTGTGAACCTCAAATCCAATTACAGGAAGCTTAATTAAAGTCCTTTCAGCTCAGAAGTCGAGATCTAATTTTACCATAGTCCAGTACAGCAGGTGAAGGATGAAGTTAAGTTTGAAATAAAAAATAAAAGATAAAGCTATCCCTGTAACAGGCCATGAAGGGCCATAGGGTTGTGAGATGTCAAGGCTCTCACATTTTCTATACAGTCAGCTCACAGATGGCTGTGAGGCTATCAGCCTTACATGCCAGCCGCCCTTTACACCCAAGGAATATTCCTGGTACTTGTTTCTGTTAGAGGTTGAGTCAACCCCAGGGCCATAGTGCAGCTGGAAGGAATGGGTCAATTGAGAAATCCAAAGACCTCACTGGGAATCGAACCAGTGACCTTCCACCTTGTAGCACAGCGCCTCTACCAACTATGCAAATAATAGGTAAGAAAATGAACACACTGCCAACAGCCACTCATCAGTGAAACCTCCAATTTCAGATTCCAAACTGGTTAAGTATAATAAGCACAAAATCTAGAAATGAGATCGAGGATCAAGTGTGCATCTTAAAGGGGAACATACATATTTCTGGACATGACCTACATACTTCACACTACTACAGTATTACAAAGGCAAATCGAAAAGTCTTTGCCCCTATTTTTTTCAGCCACAATAATACACATACAGGGAAATCAAAATACAGGCAGTATTCTAAGTACCTTTGACTATTTTTCCACATAGTCACCACCCCGGTTCAGGCATTTGTTCCATCGCACCACTAGTTTGGAGATGCCGCTGTTGTAGAATTCAGCCGGTTGAGCGCAGAACCACCGCCTAAGCTGTTGAATGATCTGAACAAGGCCAAGAGAATGATGACGTCACTGCAACATTTGCAGCATTACTCCAAGGAGGGTGAAAGGTTCCTGGATCTCACTGTCACCAGAGATGAAGCGTGGGTACTCACTCCAGAATCCAAGCAGCAGAGCACGGTGTGGAAACATCCCGGTTCGCCTGTCATGAAGAAATTCCGCAGAACACCATCCATCGGGAAGTTGATGGTCATGGTCTTCTCGGATCGGCGAGGACCACACCTGCTTGATTTCATGCCACGAGGTGCCACCATCAACGCAGACAGCTATTGTGGCACACTCGTACGTCTGCAAGCTGCCATCAGCAAAAAATGCCCAGGGATTCTAATGGACGATGTGGTTCTCCTCCATGACAACACCAGGCCTCATGTGGCAAACAGGACCACTGCCCGACTGCAGTCATTCGGATGGGAGATTATGGAGAATGCACCGTATAGTCCAGACCTCACCCTCAGTGATTACCACGTGTTCAGTCCACTGAAGAAGTTCCTGGCAGGCCAGAGGTTCATTTCCAATGATGACATGAAAACTGCTGTCCGGCGGTGGTTCTGCACTCAACTGGCCGAATTCTACAACAGCGGCATCTCCAAACTAGTGGTGCGATGGGACAAATACCTGAAGCGGGGTGGTGACTATGTGGAAAAATAGTCAAAGGTACTCAGAACACTGCCTGTATTTTGATTTCCCTGTATGTGTATTATTGTGGCTGAAAGAAAATAGAGGCAGACTTTTCAATTTGCCCTCGTACTTGTAAATAATTCATGCATATTACTTTTCTCCAAGCCTATGCCAGTATAGTGAAGGACTTTTATATTCCATAGCATACACGTCAGTTGTCACCACCAGCTACCAACAAAAACAGACAAATGTACATTTACAATGTCCATTTGTGTTTCACACATTTAGCTACCATATTATCAAGTTATTAGTATCAAAAGTTAAGATGATTAGAGAAGGAAATGGAAAGGATCTGGAAGGAAGTGTGAAGTTACATTGTGCTTCTTACATAAAACCAACAATATCTGTAATAATTTATAGTCAAAAAAAGCTCAGTATACAAAACATAGTGGGCTACAAGAACGTGGATTCCAAATCATTGTTATTCTGACACAATACTGTCATGTGTCACGGTGACTAAGATACAAGTTTGGATTGGCAATAGGATTCATTGGATACTTACAAGTAATAACTAGAAATGATTATAACACCATTGCTGATTTACACAATTTACAATCACTCAATGCCAATCTTCTCAGTCAATCTGCACTAGTCCTGAAGGACTTACAACACAGGAAGTATAAAAGTCTTACTAAATACACACTCCCACTATCAGCACACATAAAGTCTTCAAATCACATGTTAAATCTTCACAGGCTGACTTCTTGTATTCTTCTTCAACTGTGAACTTCCCATGGCTATCTCCTACCAAGAACTGATCCCTGTACCAAACAAATTCTGTCACTTATATAGGCAAGAAGCAGACAACCACCATAGGAAACATGTCAAATGACCACCACCCACCACTATGTGATGTCACCACGGACATGGAAAACAGCCTCCTCTATATTTGCATGGTGGACGGTGTTTACGGAGCTGTTGCCTAGCAACAGGGTTATCAAATCTGTTATAATATTTTATGGAAAACAATCTGTTATACTGACTTAAACACAAAACAAAAGGTAAAATTGGTAAAATCAATATACCTATTAAAATGTATACCATCAATACACATAAATATTCACAAATGAAATGGACAAAGAGAAACACCTGCATAACACTTATTTATCAACGATTTTTAATATGTCTGTCAGTTAACATCTAAAGATTCACTCTTTCACAAATAAGAGATGCAAAAATTATTTTCAAAACAATATACTTTACCGAGCAAGTTCCATCGGCAGAACTGAGTTGAGCATAAGAGTGACAACTGTAGGATCAAGACTACACATGACACCAAAGGCCTGGAGAAGCAACTGACGTATGGACCAACGAATCTCCATTTGATAATACTGCACTAGACTACTAACTCCATGATACTTATCTCCGGACATCACATGTCGGGAAATGTTTGCATCTGCATTTGTCTGTACACAGAATAACAGGAGACACATGACATAAATACTTTGAATGCTGTAACACTCAACTAATATAAAGTAAATAATAACTTAGCATATTAATAGTCAACTAACAGTCTTTACATTGAAGAGTTCTGTCTTCTGGGATATAATGTTGTGCAGTCCACTGTAAGTCATCCAACATTTTTAAAGTAACATGCCACCTCCATCTTCAGGGTCAAAGAATAAGCCAAAGAAGAAACCAGCATGAAGCAGTCTTTATGTGTTGCATCCTGTTGTGTCATTCAAAACAGTATATCTGTATAAGTCAACACGACAATTCAGGTAACAGTGATATGGTGAGGCACTATGCTACAAACCAGAAGGTTTCGGGTTCGAGTCCTGATGAGGTGGATTTTCTTTTTTTCCGATTTATCTAATCCTTCTAACTGCAAAACCGCCCTGGTGTCAACTCAGTCTCTAATAGAAATAAGTAGCAGGAATCTTCCTGGGGGGTAAAGTGCAGCCGGCGCGTAAGGCTGACAACCTCACCACCATCTTTGCTGAAATAGTTGATAACCTTTTACTCGTAAGTCAAAACAACAACAACAACAACAACAACAACAACACACAGTAGCAGAAACAAAGGATAAACTGCTGCCCTAATACCATATTTTTCCATCCAGTCACTGAATATGAAACAGAGTGTGTAACAAATAGTCTAAAAGGTAGATTATCTGCAGGATATGACAAGATACCAGAATAGCTTGTTAAAAAATGTATAAATTATGTAAAAACACCACTGGCTCATATTTTCAATGCCTCTTTCAGCTCAGGCACCTTCCCACATAGATTAAAATTAGCTAAAGTGATACCTCTGCATAAAAAGGGGAATATCATGATATTAAAAACTATAGACCGATATCCATTTTATCGGCATTTTCCAGAATATTAGAGAAACTGATGTATAATTGGCTAATGCCGTTTTTAATTCAAAATATATTAACAGAGGCCCAAAATGGCTTCAGAAAGAATAAATCAACTGGCACAGCAAATCAGTCTTTTATTGAAAGTATACAGGAGGCCTTAGATAACGGCCTATATTCCACAGATTATTTTTTGATTTATCAAAGGCATATGATGTAATAGACCATGATATACTTTCAGAGAAACTAGACTCATATGGCATAATAGGCATGCCAAATATGTGGTTCAAGTCTTACCTGTCAAACAGATTCCAATATGTAGAAATAAAAATCACTGACGGAAGTGTCAACACCAGTTATAATTCATCATGTAGGAAAGTGAAGTATGGTGTACCACAGGGATCAGTGTTGGGGCCGCTTTTATTTTTACTATACATTAATGATCTTACAGAAAATGTTCAAGGAGCAAAGCTGGTTTTATATGCAGATGATACCAATTTGTTAATTACTGGAAAAGATGAACTTGACCTTCAATATAAAATAATGAATGTTATGAAAGAATTAGAAATATGGTTTCAAAAAAATAAACTTGTAATAAATACTAAAAAGACATCTTATTTCATTTAAAACAGTGGAGAGATCTGTTAAGGCCACAAATAGTTTTTAATAATATAGAAATAGTACTATATCAGTCAGAACTGAGATTTCTTGGAATTCACATGACAGAAACCCTAAAATGGTGCGCTCATGCTCAATTTCTAAAAGCAAAGTTATGCAAAGTAATTTATATGGTGAAAATATTAAAAGAAATAATGAGTCCATATATGATAAAAATTATTTATTTTTCGAATTTTGAGTCATGTATGAGAAATGGTATCTTATTGTGGGGTGGGGATGGGGAAAGTAAAAGCATTTTTAAATTGCAAAAGGGGGTTCTTCGAGTGATTAGTGGTATTAGTAGTCGCATGTCATGTAGACAAATTTTTAAAGATTACAATGTTTTAACATTGCCTTCTCTGTATATATTGGAGGTGACATGCTTTATCAAAAAATACGAGGCTTTTATGGCAATAAATTCAGACATTCATAATTATAACACACGAAGAAAATTAAATTTTCATGTACAGCACTGTAAAACAGCTCTCTTTAAGAGGTGTGTGATATATATGGGAATTAGTTTATATAATAACGTCCCCAATCAAATAAAACAAAGGGAAAATTTTAACTCATTTAAAAAGGAATTAAAATCTTTTTTGCTGAAACATTCCTTTTATTCTGTAGATGAATTTATGTCTTTTGATTCATCAAGTGTGTAAATGTAATATGTAGTTGATTAATTTGTTGTATTTTTGTAAAGACAATGAAATTAATGGTAACTAGATCTAGATAATATTATTCAGATGACAAACCCCTTATATTAGGGTGGTGCAGTGTATACTGTAACGATATGCACGAGAATTAGATGTAAAACTGACAATTTCCTTATCCAAATGGTTGTAATACCTGTATGCATGGACTGTTGAATGATAATAAAAAAAAATAATAAAATGAAAAGTCTATAAAGAAAGTGTGGGAGCCTTGATGTCTCACAACCCCATGGGCCTTCACAGCCTGTTACAGGGATAGCTTTACCTTTTACCTTACCTTTTTTTATTTACATGAATGTTGATCATGACATGTTTCGACCCCTACTGGGTCATCATCAGGTGTATCTCTGTGTACTTAGATGCTGAATTTTTGTTCAAATATGGATCCATACTTTCCTTCATATTTGATCATATTATTATGTGATTATTGCTTAGTAGTGAACCTCTGGTTTGTTTACTCTTCAGGTTTAAGCCATATTAAAATTAAGTTAGATAAAAATTAATTTAAAATTAATTAAGGTTACAGTTATAAGAATTTTAGTATTACACTCGGTATGTATGGGCTCATATTAAATTGTCAATTTACGAATAAATAGTTGAAGATGGTTGTGAATGCCTATTCGATCATTCTAATGGTACACTGTCTACCCCTGTCTTGTACTGTGGGTATAATGTAGCTGGGGGCCAGGTCATGATGTTATGGGGCCCTTGCACTGCATGTTCATATTGCTACCTCTTTATTTATCCTACATGATGCAATATGTGTCGTTGCATTGTTCTCTTTATGATACGCACTGCAGGTCATGTCTGTATTCGGTCATTAAGACTCTGTCAAAGCTATTTTAGATCTGATACTGGTAGGAAGCACAGCCAACTTCATGCTGGTTTCTTACTTCGCTTATTCTTTGATCAAGCTGGGGGCAACATGTTCCTGCAAAACATCAGATGACTTTCAAAGGGCAGAAGACAGAACTCTTTATAAGCACTGAAGTGAGAACCTCAACTCCTATGTCTCTGTACTGATTCCCACCCTAGTCTATCTCACACACATAAAACTTTCTACACTTCTTTCCATTTTAATCAAATTCAAGTAAATATTCTTCTACAAGAAATAATTTTGTGACTCATAAGGTAAAATGAGTTAGAAAAGAAGGATTACAAAGGTATGGCCACTTCAAAAGCACCTATAGGCAACGACACAGAGAAAAACATTACAATTACAACAGAATGGCACAAGACCTATTGGATGACCCAGAACAAGATGGTTCAACCAGATACTGGAAGATAGCAAGAAAAGAGAAAAGCCCTGGCAAAAAAATCAGAAAGAAATGCTATGGAAAGAAAGTACTGAAACTCTTACAAACTCTTAACAATTATCTGCAACTTACCAGTATAGATATAAGTTCCTGAATATATTCAATAATCGTTGTTTCATCTTCATAAAGCATCCAACTCCTTTGCTGTGAGTCTTCCTTACAAGATGTGAGTTCAGTGAAAATGACTCTCAATCTATGAGCATCATGAGTCTCCTCAATGAATAGCTTTGGCGCTGCAAGAGGTCCTTGCAAATGCAAAAGCATGGCATTCAACTGAGGAGTAACTGAATGTGGAAGAAGATCACAAAGACCACCTACAACAACTGCCACTGCTACACGAGACATCTCATGGCTCAGCTGTGTATGTTTCCGAACCTGAAATACATTCCAAATTCATACTAAATGTGTCTTTACATATTTGTAATAACAACCCAAATTCATTCCTTCTGTGCTCAAAATTCCTGAAAGTCAGGATGAGTTCATGTCCTAGAATAATATATCCAAGAGCCAAGATAGCTCTTGAGGTGGTATCGACTGGCTCAGGACAGGGACAACTGGAGGGCTCTTGTGAACACAGTAATGAACCTTTGGGTTAACGTGTGGGAATTCTTGAGTAGCTGTGATTGGTGGCTACTCAAGGAGGTCTCAGCTCCATGAAGTTAGTTACCACAGTAGCTCATCTGGTATAATGACTAGGTTATGGATGGAGAACTGAAGTTCAGTTCAGGGCAGAGCCAAGAGTTTTCACCTTCTCCAGCTGTGGGGTACACCTAGCCTCCTATCGAAGGCCATGTCATAGCTCAGGTGAAGTCATGTGGCATTTGTGGTGAATAAAGAGGCACTGTGGCAGGTTTCTCCTGCCAATCCTTTCTACCAAATGCTCCAACCTCACCTATAATCCAGGGCTAGTACAATAGGCCAATTAATGGCCGACATATCAAGTAGACTCAGTCTCACCCCATCCCAAGAAATAAAAAAAAATGGCCTCCTATCCAACTGGTACACAGAGCCATTTCCCTAGGGTACAGTGGCTGGGGCATGAAGTTGATATTGTCTCCTGCGCATTATCCTGCAAGAGTAACGTTTTGCCAGTGTTCCCTGCAACAATGTGGTTTTATGCCTAACTTTGCAGCTGTTGTGTTGTTCATGGATGAGGCGAGATTCACAAGGGACAGAATCCAAAATCTGCATAATCAGTACGTGTGGGCAGACACAAATCCCCATGCAACTATCCACTAGTCTCATCAACAGAGGTTTGCCATTAACATCTGGGCAGGCAATGTTGGTGATTGTCTGCTGTCACCCTACATTCTTCCGGACAAGCTTAATGGACAGAACTACACAGATTTCTTGCATACTACATGACCTGAATACTTGGAAGATATGCCACTAGCATTCCATCAACAGCATGAGGGTACTCCCGCACATTTCAGTCTGTCTGCCCGCAGGCACCTTAATGCACTGGGCGCTGGATAGGTAGAGGTGGACCGATTGCTTGGCCACCACGCTCTCCTGACTTAAACCACCTGGACTTTTAGCTGTAGGGACACTTAAAGTCTGTCGTGTATTCGACTGCTGTTGCTAATGTACCAACTCTCCAGGTGTACATTGTGGCAGCCTGTCAGGCAGTACACACTACACCGGGCATTTTTGATCGTGTGCAGCACTCAATGTGACGATGAGCGGAGGCCTGTGTTCAGGCAGGAGGAGGTCACGTTGAACATTTCCTCTGATACGTGACCAGAGTGTTCCAACTGGCGTTACAGACATATTCAGTGTAACAGTGTTTTTAAGAGGAAACTCAAAAATTATTTGCTGTGCAGAACTTTCTATTCTCTTCAAGAGTTCTTCAACTAATGTTGGACTGATGATTGGTTTGTTGATTGTCTTAATTTTGCAATGTTTAATACTGTGTATGCATGTTTTATACTACTGACATTTTTCTTTTGGTATTATGCATCTTTTATTATTATGTAACTTATAACGGTTGTTATTTTATCACGACAGATCACTGTGTAATTTTTATGTGACTCTGGCATGTGAAGTATTCAATGTTATTTTTTGACATGTCCAATTGTATTCACTTCAGTTATGGATGCAAAATAAAGCTGAAGTTGAAGTTTCTGTCAATGTTGATTTTTGCCCACTGTTCCTTTTCACTGATGTTGTCTTCCTACGACTGGTGTACGCTGACATAACCTTAGAAATTGTCCCTCTCGATACACCTAATAAGGTGGCAGTTTTGGCACGGATCTTCCAGCTAAACATGCACCAAAGATCTTCCCTCTTTCAAAATCAGACAAGTCTCTCATTTTCTGATTCTTTCACAAGCGCTGTCTCTCAACACAATCACTAATTCATTGACACAAGCAGTACAGAGCATCAAGATATGGAAGAACATTCAGCGTTGCCAACTTAAGTTCCTTCAGTGTAGCCAACACAAACAAAATCTATTCCTCAGTTTCTTAGTGTTTCCATTATTTTGTCCACCTCCTGTAGTACTCATCATCATCACCATAACAGCCTCAAACCTCACAAAGTACCAAGATCCTTAACTTCAAATGATATATAGCAGTGTTTCTCAACCACTTTTTCTTATACAAAAATAAATTTACTGGGCCACAGTCTGACAAAGATTGAGAACCACTGATGTATAGGATGTGCAAAATTCAACATATACAAACCTTTTCTACTAGCTGGTAAGCAACTGATGACCCTGGATCATTTCTGGCATCAGACGATGCACTGTCTTCAAATAATGGTGATTTGGTAGGTAAAGCTGTCACTGTGGCGGAAACCACGGAAGATACTTTCTTCATTTCATGATGCCTGTCTTCAGCTATGTTGTTAACACGACAGTGAGATGTATCAGACATGGTAACGTGAATCACCTGTCGTGCAGCCAAGCTACCTGGTGTAACATGATTCGGCATACTTGACTGTGGTTTAGGTGAATTTCTCTGACTTGACTGATTGACCTGAGAACAGATTTATTTTATACACAAGATTTCAAGTTTCTGTATTGTTGAAAATTTAAACTGTGGTCTTCTGATTTATGATGCAGACCACAAGACCACAATATTCACATACACAGAGTGCCACTGATGAGGGAATACAAACAAACTATCCACTGGCAACTTAGCCAGCAAAGTGAGCAGCCTTCGTAGTCTAGAGATAACGTTCCCACCTCATGACTCGTAGTACGCGGGTTCAAATACCCGGCGGAGTTCGTCGAATTTTTAAGGGCGGAAAAATTCAGGGAACAAGTCCTCCGGGAGGGACTTTAAGCCGTGGGTCCCGTGTCGTAGCTGAGCACGTAAAGAACCTCATACCTCCAAAGGAGGTCACTGAGCCAAAATTGCGGATGTTTCCCACCCAACAGCAGTCACTAATAGCTCCAGTAGATGGGGGAAGCATTATAGATACTTCTCAGCCAGTAGAGCCGGTCTCGCTGGCTGGGCGGGACTGCTGGTAAGCACCAATACTGGTAGGATATAGAGACTGATAGAAATCATAGAGGGAAGCACAATGGACCACTACAGGTCTAAGTGCATGGGGAAACCCACCCTCTCTAATAACTAACTAACTAACTACCCAGTAAAGTGTGTTATGAATCAGTACACACAGTACAATGCAGTATACAGAAATCATGAAAATCCAGAACTTCAATGGGAAGCAAAAAACAGTAAAATATTTTAGAGCAGTGATGTATTATTACATCACTGAACACCTGAGATCAATACGGGCTGGTGCAATATAAAGCATTAAATAGTTTAGACTTCAGTTAAGTTGTCAGTTATAGCTAGGGCCCTGATTTTTTGAAAATGCATATTTTGAAGGTTTTGGTCGTTATTGCATATTATAAACATAGGGGCATATGGCTGCATATATGTTTGAAATTAAGGATAATTTCAATATGCTCAAACAAAATCGGTTTTGCCCGTGTTTTGGACATCCCTTCCCAGTTGCTATTCTCAACTCTCCAAGTTACAGCACTTTAACCACTTACAATACAAGCAGGTAGCTTGGTTATTTCGAAAGGGAGGGAGGACGGGATTTTCCTGCATTCCTTAGACCACCACAGCAGACGGCAGCATCAGAGGGTTGGTCTTGAGAAAAGTCTCTTCAGCTAATGTGTTACTTTCTTCCTTAACAGTCTGCATCAAAAAAGTGTTCATGTACTGAAAATGCCTAAAGAAAAGTGCAGCAGCAGATATTTAAAAAATTGGTGGGTGTCGGGTAATAGTGACTATTCAACAGATGGTGTCGTGTACTGTCAAGTTTGCGCAAAGGAAGTAAAATGTGAAAAGAAATTTCAACTTGAACAACACTCAAGAATGACTGCACATATTATGGCAAAGAAGGGGAGGAAGCACAGCACACCACAACAACTACTTCTTACACAGGTCAAACCCAAATCCTCTGTTAATACATTTTCAGCCAATCTTTTTTAAGGCTTTAGTATGCAGCAACATTCCATGGAATGAATTAAGCAATCCAGTTCTGCGATCATTTTTGGAGAAATATTGTGTAATTCAAAAAATCCCAGATGAATCAACTCTTAGAAAAAATTATCTACCTTTGTTGGATGAATCTACTCTGGACTCAATCCCTTCTGACATCGGAGGGAACTATGTCTGGATATCGGTGGATGAGACAACCGATTTATGTGGCCAATACATAGCAAATTTCATAGTTGGTAAGCCACATCCAGACAAACCCAGCAAACCTCATCATCTTGCTTGCAAAGTACTAGAGAAAACCAGGTATAGCACAATAGCAAGATTTGTAAATGATTCTTTGCGACTACTATGGCCATCTGAAATTGAGAATAAGTGTTGTAAGGTGCTTGTATTACTCACAGATGCAGCTTCCGATATGTTGAAAGAAGCAAAGGCCTTACAAGTATTCTATCCAAATCTTATATATGTAACCCGTTTAGCGCACGGATTACACCGTACTGCAGAAAAAATACACGCACAGTTTCCAGCTGTTAACGATTTAATTGCAAGTAGGAAAAAACTCTTTCTGAAAGCACCAGCTCGTGTCCAGTTCTACAAAGACTGCCTACCTCAGATTCCTCTGCCACCTGAACCTGGGGGACATGGTTATCCACAATTTCATTTTATCAGGAGAATTTCAATCAAGTAAAAGACGTGGTTACAAAACTTGAAGATGAGTATGCATGCAGCCGTGAAGCAAAAGTGGTCTTTGGAAGTGATACTGGTTATCAAGATGTGAATTTTATCCACTGAATTCCACTCCAGGCGAAATTGGAGAAAAGATAATATGCGAGTTAGAAATGGTGTTGAATCGAACCCAGGACTAAAAAAGATTCAGTCAGTTAGTCAGTACTTGAGTGGAATTAGGGTATCTTAGCCAGATGAATGTTCCGAACCTTCGGCGCCAGTGTATAAACACTGTCCAATCATGTCAGTTGATGTAGAAAGATCATTCTCGGCCTATCATTTTGACGGACAATAGACGCAGTTTGTCTCCAGAAAACACTGAAAGATTTCTAGTTGCCTATTGTGATGCTACTTTCTGAAGTGAATGGTACATGTAAATAGGTCAGTCTGAATAAAGTGACCTGTTTCTTAAGGGCATACTGTTTTATTTTTGGTGCATATTTTAAGTGTTTTTAGCGCATATTTTAAGTGTTTTCAGCGCATAAAGATCCGGGCCCTAGTTATGGCGTAGTCAGTATAGTGACTGGCTAATGGCTGGACGATTGAGGGGGTCAGAGTTCAAGTCCCAGTAGGGTCAAGAATTTTCTCTTCTCCACATCGTCCAGACCAGCTCTGGGGTCCACCCCACCTCCTATCCAATGGGTNCACTGCTGTAGAGACGCCATGCAACGGAACCAAATAATGTCGCTTATACCACACGTTAGTTACATACCTACCTTAACTCAGAGCAAATGGACTCTCCCTTCCCACATCACACGCATGCGCAGTGACGAGAACAACAGAGCCTCGTGTTAGCTGCCGGTTTAATGTAGTGTTGTCAGGATGTTTTTGAAACAGGAACAACAGAGTTGGATAAAGATTGACNGGGGTAAAGCGGCCGGGGCGTGAAGCTGACCACTCACCTCCAGGCAGTGCCAAGGTCAAGGAAATGCAGATCTATATATCCACTCCCCCATACGCCTCCATGGTGTTGCTCTTAATTAGTTAAGCACAGGGACAACTTTACGAGTATGTCAGTTGAAGGGGGGGGGAAATGCAAATTCATATAGAATTTTCTTCAGGATATCTCAGANAATGAGGGATGCCAAAATGTGGCAGACATGCGTCGGCCAGGTCATCCTAGTGTCAGAGAAGAAGTGTATACTCTTTCCGCGTTACTGGAGAGTGATCGATGCCATATGATTCATGAGTTGGCCCAAGAGACAGCTTCACAATGCTTCACATTCTGATGGAACACCTGGACATGAGAAAAACTGCATCACGATGGGTTCCGCATGATTTGACGGAAATGCAGAAATGGCAAACTGTAGCTGATTTGTTCGATCGATGGGGCTGCGAAGTGCTGTATCATCCACCATACTCCCCAGACTTAAGCCCTTGTGACTCCGACTTGATTCCTAAGATGAAGGAACCACTTCATGGCATTCGCTTCAGAACTGTTCCAGAAATTCTTCAGGCAGTAGACCACTCCATTCGAAATATCAACACAACAGGCGCTGCTAAAGGTATCCTACAACTTCCACATCGCTGGCAACGGGTTGTACACAATGCTGGTGACCACACTGAAGGGCAGTAAAACTTCGAAACATGCATCTATTTTGTAACAGTTGTAAATAAATACTTGCCACTATTAACCTTTAAGAGACGGGCCATTTAAATTCCCGTAATGGCAGCCACCCGGAGTTAATTTAAATGTCCGCCATTGTAGAGTACTAAAAATTGTAAGCATGTTACTGAAAATGCTGTGATTTCTACAATTTTTGTGATAAACGAACGAAATAAACGCAGCTTTTATCTAGAATGAATATAGAATCAGATATTGTAATTTACAGTTTTAGAATCTGTAAAAATTGTTACACTGATTCCAAAAAAAAAAAATTTCCCAATTTTGAGTGTCTGTCCACAAATATGCATACAGTTTCTGCACAAAACGTTTCTGCAGTATAAATGCATGCTGCTGACATCCTGTCTTACTATGTCTTATCTGGCAAAACGGTAGGAAGTTTATGTTAGTACTGCACATTCTCCAGTCACGTCGGAATCTTTCTGTATGCACAAGTGTGGGCGAAGTCTAATCGTATTTTGTCCTTCAGAAACTCTACGTGTTTATATATCGGACTAACCACACAGAGGTACTGTTCTTGGAATATCCCCGCAATGCCCCCTTGCTTCCTCTGTACGGCATTCTGAATGGTGTGATTTATGAGCAGCCTCTCAATTTTGGCTTCTTCCATACAAAATGGGGCCATGGTGGATAGTTGAAATTGAGATGTTTTATAAGCATTACGATTCTGTTTATATTTCGGACTAAACACACAGAGGTACTGTTCTTGGAATATCCCCACAATGCCCCTTTGCTTCCTCGCCACTTTCAGTGTCATCTGTACCGCATTCTGAATCGGTGTCATTAATGAGCAGCCTCTCAATTTCGGCTTCTTCCATGCGAAATGGGGTCATGGTGGATAGTTGAAATTGTGATGTTTTATAAGCGTTACGATTAGCGTTGTCCTTCAGAAACCCTGACTGTGTATATCTCGAAGTAACCACACAGAGGTACTGTTCTCGACATAGCCCCGCACTGCCAGAACGTTCTAGCCTAGCGCATTGTGTTGTGTTGTGAATAAAACATCACAATTTAAACAAGCCACCATGGCCTCATTTCACTTGGAAGAAGCTGAAATTGAGAAGCAGCTGATTAATGACACCGATTCAGACTGCGGTACAAAAGACTCTGAGAGTGGCCAGAAAACAACGGGCTCAGAACCCGAAGTCGACAAAGACCCATCATCTTCATCGGCAACCTGGAGACCACCAGCCCAGCATGGCAGGAGAGTTGTGAATAATCATTCCTGTGGAGCTGTGGGGTTAAATATCAATGAAGCTCCGCATGTAAATAAGGATTCCACCCCTTTCTGCGTTTTCATGCTCTACTTCGCAGGGATTATCCGTCTGCTGGTGGAAGAGACGAACAGGTACTACCACCAGTACCTAGACAGACTTCAAGAAGGACCTTCTCCGCAGCCTGACGTGACCGATTCCAAGATATTTCAGTTTCTAGGAATAATCATTCAAATGGGACATGACAATAGAGACAGACTAAAGGACTACTGGTCAACTGCAGAACAATTTGCCACGCCTTTCTACTCTAACACAATGAAACGCAACCATTTTCTACACATTCTTCATTTTCTTCATTTTGCTGACAGCAATACACAAAACTGACAGGAATGCCGACAGTTATGACCGACTATGGAAAATTCGGACCATCTTCAACACTCTCAATGACGCATATGAAAAATATTATAACCCTTCCGAACATTTGGCCATAGACGAGATAATTGTTAAATTCAAAGGGAGGGTGGTTTTTAGGCAGTACATTCCTAAGAAACACAAACATGTTGGAATCAAAATCTTCAAAATTTGTGATGCCGCTGGGTGTATTTATGACATGAAGGTTTACCTAGGAAAAGACAGGACACGTGCTGACCAAGACGTGACAGTGACACATGCTACAGTTAGGGACCTATGCAGACGTATTGAGGGCGTAGGTCACAAACCGTACATGGAAAATTTCTTTTCGTCACCAGACTTGTTTGACAAACTGATGACAAAGGACATAACGTGCTGTGGGACAGTCAGACCTAATCGGAAGGGCTTGCCTAATGATTTTCGACGAAGACAATTTCGACTGAAGAAAGGTGACATCCGTGTTAGGGTGAGACGGAACTTGACAGCATTAGTTTGGAAGGACAAACATGACGTTTACGTACTGACAAACATGCACTGTCCTCCAGCAGAAGGCAGTTTCTGTGATGAGCATGGAAATGCCATCAAGCCAGCAGTTGTTGATTACAACACGCACATGGGTTATGTCGACAAAGCGGACAGAATGGCAAACAGTTATAGCATCAGTCATCGGACCTGGAAATGAACAAATACACTATTTTTCCATCTCCTGGATCTGACGATTCTGAACAGTTTCATCCTGTTGTCATCCTGTGGCACGAAATTGTCACACAGAGAATTTCGTCTCACCTTGTGCGCAACATGCTGGAACATGCTGCAAGGGGTCCACCTCACCCTCAAAGGTTCACGGGTCGACCTCCTGCTGTGTTATCTGCGAAATATCGATTAGAGGAGGCCACTCGACTTCACTGGCCGACTTCCTCTAATAAGAGACTGAGGTGTCATTTGTGCTCTTCGCATGGGAAATGGAGTTACATCCGGACAAAGTGCATGAAGTGCGACACTGGACTCTGCATTTCCGGATGTTTCCAACAGTACCACATGAAGGCAACATTCAGTTAGATGACGCAGGAGGGAAGACTGTGTACTTACAAAGCTGGTGTCAAAAAATAATGTAAGTAAAAAGAATTTCTACCTTATAATTAGATTTTAAAACGCTGTGCGCACGCGTGGACTGCGCGTACCCATACGGTGTCACACGGCCACTCAACTATACTTTAAAGGTCCCCATACAGTGTCGCTAGGCTCTTAAAGGTTAAAGTTCCAACCCTCGTATATATAATAAAAATATAAAATATGGAAACTTATTTTTACAAAGAAGGGTATACTGCTTACACAAGTGGACAACGTCCCTTATGAGGTAGAATAAGGAGTTTTACATCATTAAAAATTGTAATGATTTTTAATTCATTTTAAATGGAGTGAACTGTAACATGTAAGATTTTAACGCACAACAACTGAGTGCAAGTGTAACATTTTAATTTGAAATGTTCAGTTACGCATGTGTGAAATGGACAATACTCAATGCAGTGTAGCAGATTTGGCATACTGGGACACCTGAGGATCGCTGCTTGCGGCCGAAACATGTTGTGTTAATAGCAAAAGCAAATGAGAATGAAGAAATAAATAGTTGCATTATTTACATAAAATTGTATGTAAACAAGGTTGAATAAAATTTATTTAATATTCTATCGTAGCATCCTGTAGAACATCACTTATTTATTCCTATCTGTTATTAGCCATCTCTCATGCAACTTGAGTTTTAAAGCCTTTCAAAATTTTTAATGTTGAAATCTCTTCTACATCACTGGTGTATGCACATTACAAGTTTCAACAAACACTGGTCACCTTCAGATGAGCAATGTTGGTCGAAACATATAGTGTGCATACACCAGTGATGTTGGAGAGATTTTAACATCTAAAACTTTTAACGGTTTAAAAAGGCAAATTGTATGTGAAACGGTTAATAACTAAGAGAAATAAAGAGTTTTTACAAGATTTGAAGCTTTGACGGCAACACTATATGACCAAGTCATTTTGGCAATCAGTCACATCAACATGGCAGTAGTGCCTGATGTTTCAGAGACACCTCTGTCCCCACCATCAGAGGCTGATGTCTTACAAACAAGGTATGCTGTCAGGTGACCCAGAGCAGATGACATGGGGATCAGCAGATGCAACGGGTATGTATCCACCCTCAGGGAGGCACCTACTCAGTCGGATCCAACAGACAGGGCTAGTCTCAATCACCGGACAGCTTTAGCTAATGGATGCAACTGAATAGGTGCCTCCACACCATTTCATCTGAAGACAGACACAGTAAGTTTCTGAAAACTGTTTTCTTCTAACATATCAGATGATGGACAAAGAGCAGAAATTCTGTAATCCTAAGCATATCAGTGTTTTACTTTTCAGCTGGTACATGCCAGTATGCATACCAGCAAACAACTGGTACATACTGACAAATGTGCCAAAAATCATGCATCTTCTCATGCATTAACATGTTCCCAAACTTCACGCTAAAACTGGGCATGAGAAAACTGGCAAATATGTTTAAAAAAGAGCACTATGACCACTGAAATGTGGCATGGTACAAAAAGCAATCTTTATTTTTCTGGTGAGAAAGACACATAAGAAAACTGCCTTACTGTTATGATCATATTAACTGACAGAACAGAGATGGTTACCACTGCGTCACTTCCAGCACTCCTTAATGAGGAGACAGCAGCTGAATTTGAGGAAGTACCACTAGGAGATAAATGTGAAATTCCATCAGGTGCCATTCCATCACTTGCCATAGCATGTCGCAGCTTTGGAGATGTACTCGAGGAAATGCTCACGTGGAAGTCAGGTGGAAGTGGAGCATGCCTCTTCCCTGAGTTAGAAGAACACAACTCAGCTTTCCTTCTCCGTTCCAACAGACGAAGCAACAGATCTTGCCGGTCAGTAGCCAAGCACCCACCACTTTGCACTCCTTCTCCCCGCAGAACTTCCAAACACCCATCTAAGAACTGTACCCAACATTCAACACTAACCTACAAAAAAAATTAGAATTACGCACTTTGTCTCACTAAACGTACATAAGTTATCTGTTAATTACTACACATTTGTTAAAATATGACAGATTATATCTTCTCACACTAACTCATTTTAATCCTGATCTAGATGCAATGAAATGTTAATATGCTTCTATTGTTTCATTATAGACTGGTTAAAATATGGTCAGTTCTATTACAACTGTTACAGAAATAGAAGAGACGATATAATTAAGTTAATCTGTATTTCTGCAAGTGTAAGACTGGGATGAGAGTTTTGCAGACAAAAATACAGGTTAAAACGGTATAAAATATCATTATTCTTCTATTTAAATCAGATTTCTTGATTTCTCAGTATAGCGTTAGTCAACATCCATCCCTCGAGCATTCCAAGTCTGGTATGTTTCTGCATTAGGCGTTCAATGTTTTGCAACTTCAAAGAAGACCAACCAAAACCAATGTTCTGCTCAGCCATCCAAGTAAACCATCAGTACCTCAACCACTGGAGATTATCTTCTGAAATCAACCTTTTCTGTTTCTCAAAGCAAATATTTTCATTTTTGTTCAGCACTCTCGACCAATCACAATGCAGTAATTTCTGTCCATGGTTTATGCTGACCGTCTTACAGTGTATACACTTTTTCACCTTATTCTTCACTTCCACACTACATGTTTCAGCACTAATGTGCCATCTTCAGGTGTCTTTGTGCACGTTAAACTATTGTACTGCATGCCATAATGTCTTCATTCTAAAATGACTAAAATCTGTGTTCATCATATAGGACGATGAATTCTAAATAATATAACTTTTCAGGATTCTTCCTATGTCGCACCCAAACACGCGAATTACGCCAATCCTCTTCTACNATGATGAATACAGATTTTAGTCATTTTAGAATGAAGACATTATGGCATGCAGTATAATAGTTTAACGTGCATAAAGACACCTGAAGATGGCACATTAGTGCTGAAACATGTAGTGTGGAAGTGAAGAATAAGGTGAAAAAGTGTATACACTGTAAGACGGTCAGCATAAACCATGGACATGAATCAGTGTAACAGGACGCTAAAATATAACATCAGTAATTTCTGTTTCCAGCTTGTCTTTGAGACACTGCACTTTCAAATGGCTTAATGCTATTGCATATCTCTTGGCTAACGCACAGAACCACTTCTTAGGACATGACTTCATGTCTTCATGGCAGTGATTCTTCATATTATGGTCTTCTGAGTTGACACAATGTAATCCTGCAGGCAGATGTTTCTGAGGAACATGCTACCTCCATGGTTGAAGTGTGTAAAGTGACGAATCGGCTACATATCTTCCCAAGAGTTCTCAATGACGAAATTCTTTCCAACCTGTCCATACAGTGCAACTGATCCCTCACATTATTCATTTTGTTCCTGAAGATGGAAGCAGTATGTTCCTCAGAAGCATCAGTACCTGCCTACAAGACTGCATGATAGTCAGGCAGCACTGTAAGTCATAAAGAGATGTTAAGCCTTGAACATTTAGAACAGAGGGTTGTGTACAAGTGTGTAGCATTTCTGAGGGGGTAAATGACATTTGAGTACAGATGCTGTCCCTTCAAGTTCGACAGAAATGCACAGCATTAGTAACAAAATATTTGGGAATTTTTTTAAGAACACTGACAATGAGAGGGTATTAAAAATCCATCCAGCAAGATCCCCACTTTTATTTTTTAACATTATGAAAATCCTCAATCTCTTACTATGGCCACATCATACTCAACTGTGAAAGGATTAAATACAATAAAAGAAAGTCTATATATTAAAGAAAATCCATGGTACAACAAAATACAATAATATAATTTATAAAACATAAAACTCACAAAATGAAGTTTAACAATGTGGATACTACCTACATAAATAACAAGTTTTACCTGAATGGCTGTCACATAATTTGAAGGAACATATCCAACTTGTCCCACAGAGTTCACCACCTGCCACCAGTTGCGTTGTTTTGTGTTTACTTGATGAAGAATAAAGATATCATTTTCTTGAAAGCTAAGAGTCTTGGCAAATGTTGCTTTGAAGTTATACAGAGCTTTCAGCATTTCAAATTGTTCTGAAAATAATTAGAATGTCTTAAAGTGAACTAATTTTTATTCTTACATATACATATCATTCACAAGGAATGTGTATAGGATACTGGTGGGAAAGCCAGAAGGAAAGAGCCCACTGGGAAGACCAAGGTGTAGGTGGGTGGAGATTATTAAAATGGATCTTAGAGAGATAGGATGGGAAGGTAGGGATTGGATTTATCTGGCTCAGGATATGGACCAGTGGAGGGCTCTTGTGAACATGGTAATAAACCTTCAGGTTCCATAAAATGCTGGGAAATTCTTGAGTAGCTGCAGAATTGGCGGCTCCTCCAGAAGGATCAGCTCCATGAGTAAGTAAGGACATACATACAGGGTGTTTCACGACTTTAGGGCATAACTGCAGGAGGTGATTTCCTAGGTCTTTGTGATCAAAAAAGTTCATATAAACATGTGTCCGATTTTGGACGGTTACGGAGTTATGACCGTTTTAAACTCAGAATAGAAGGTAACGATTACAGACAATAAACGGAACAAAATAATAAACCAGCATAATACATGACACATTTAAAGTATGAATGTAAAGTTAACTTCGTGAAATTACCTTTAACTTGAATTGATTGGTGCTTAAAGCTGATTTTCGAAAATGCCAACGCCGGCCGCAACACACGCTGCCGCTTGGTTGTGAACCATGCCGGACATACCAACCCACCCCGCCTTACATAGCTCTCAAGTGTCTAGATAACGAGAACGCTCTGTCTGTAGCTGGCTAAAGATAGCGACCTGCCAGCTGACATACACGGTTCACAAGAGGGTGTATATGGGAATGAAAAAACGGTCATAACTCCGTAACCGTCCAAAATCAGACACATGTTTATATGAACTTTTTTGATCACAAAGGCCTAGGAAATCACCTCCTGCAGTTATGCCCTAAAGTCGTGAAACACCCTGTATACAGGGTGTCCCAGGAGGAATGGACCAAACTTCGGGAGGGTGTTCCTTATGTTAAAGTATGCCGATATAACCCAAAACACCTATGTCCAAAGTTGAACGGTTACGGAGATAATGGCCCAAGAAAAGTGTGGTCTTCTGGCAGGTCCACGCACTGTACCTCTCAGCTGAGAGGCCTTATCTATGTTTGTCCTTGAGTGCGATGATTCACCCTAGCCTTACTTATGTAGTTGGCTTATACCAGAACGCGCAGTCAGTACGTTACATCATCGCTTGCCATTCATGTGTCATGTATAGTGCTTGGAAACCCTAAGGACAATTATGACATGGCGAGCGAGTATTTTGTATTTCAATTTTATGGCTTCATGTCACTCACAAGTTAGTTTGATGTTACGTACATTATTAACATTACAGAATCCACATATTCCTGCCAGTTTTAATATGTATTTTGTAATCAACAAGTGTGTAACAGCGGTCAAAGTTTCACACTTCTCTGGCCATTATCTCCGTAACCGTTCAACTTTGGACATAGGTGTTTTGGGTTATATCGGCATACTTTAACATAAGGAACACCCTCCCAAAGTTTGGTCCATTCCTCCTGGGACACCCTGTATATCACTGCTTCTCCCCCCCCCTTGGCACTAGAGCCCCAGTGGGCCTAGACCCACCTCCATGAACTTCTCCGTTCACTTCGGTTTTTCTAGATCTTACACATATGGTAGGACTCCTTGGGCGAGTGATCAGCTCATCGCAAGTCCTCTACCTGTTGACAAACACAGAAAAACGCACACAAACATCCATGCCCTGAGTGGGATTCGAACCCACAATCCCAGCTTCTGAGAGAGCGAAGATAGTGCATGCCTTAGACTGCTTGGCTACCGTGACCGGCATATATCACTGCTTACCTTATTGATTTTTTCAGTAAGTATTTTCATAAAAACCATGTTTTAATTCACTTTGTGAACTATGGATGTAAATAAAGTAATTTACTCTAAGGAATGAACAAAAGTAAAGGTAAAGCTGTCCCTGTAACAGGCCATGAAGGCCTACAGGGGCATTAAAGGTCAAGGCTCCCACATCTTCTAGACAGTTGGCTCATAGCTGGCTGTAAGGTAAGATGGCCTTATGCGCTGACTGCCCTTTACTCCCCAGGAAAATTCCTGGTTCTCATTTCTGTTAGAGGCTGAGTCGACTCTAGGGCCATAGTTTGGCTGGAAGGATTAGGTCAACTGAGAAATCCAGTGACCCATCAGGATTTGATCCCGCAACCTTCTGGCTTGTAGCACAGTGCCTCAACCAAATGCACAACAGTGTGCCTCCAAGGAATGAACAAAACTGTATTAATTGTTAGCTATGACCTAGAATATGACCCTCCCAAGTTCATAAGGGATTAATAAATCTCCAAGATTTGTAACCCAGATAATCTTGGTAGGATCATATTCCAGGTCATACTAACAATTAACACAGTTTTGTTCATTCCTTGGGGGCACAGTGTTCTGAATTTGGTTGAGGCACTGTGCTACAAGCCAGAAGGTTGCGGGATCAAATCCTGATGAGGTCAGTGGATTTTTCAATTTACTTAATCCTTCCAGCCACAGTATGGCATGTGGGTCTAAACAACTTTAATACATAGGTCAGATAAATAGTAGTGGCAACACCTCTACAGTTCTGAAATTACTTTATTACCTGAGGTAAACACACTTACATTCCTTCAATATAATCACGCCCCATGTGTACCACCTTCTGCAAAATTTGTGGAAGGCATCGTACACCATCAGTGCGTCCACTTCTGTTGATGTCCAGCAGTGACCGCCCTACAGCACAAATACTCTGCTCTCTTGTGTTGTAACGTGTCCCTCGCAGTGGTTCATTCATTTTGGCAAAGAGATCATAATCGCACAGACTCATGTCGGGTCAGTATCACGGACATTGCAGTATCTCCCATTGCCACCAGTGAAGGAGATCCTTGACAGCATCACTAGTATGAGCCTTTGCATTGTCATGAAGGATGATGGCATTCGTTGCCAACAAGTGTCGTCGCTTTCTCCTGAGTGCTGGACGAAGATGATTATACAGGAAATTGAAGTAGTAGGCAGCGTTTACTGTCTGTCGTTGAGGTACAGTATGGTGCAGTATCACTCCATCAGTGTCATATGCCACAAACATCACCTTCACATTACTCTGTGTAGGGCGCACTTTCTTTGGACGAGGAGAGCCAGGATGTTTCCATTCATTTGATGTCGCTTCAAGTGCGGTTCATATGAGCGAGCTCAAGTTTCGTCCAGAGTGATGATCCTTCCAAGGAAGTTGTCACCTTCCCTCTGGTATGGGTTCAACAAGTCCTGTGCAATTGCATAACATTGCCATTGTTGCACCTCGGACATTGTATGACAGCCCCGTCCAATGCGGTGCCCCTGATATATTTTTCTGGTGCCCTCCATAAGAACATATAATTGAGCCAATTTTTAATATTAATTCAAATAGTAAGACGAGATTTTTTGAACGTCTGAGTACTGTTAAATTTTTTCACAAAATTTCCTTGAAGCATGGTACAGTATTAGACATTCCTTGAAAATTTATACCTATTTTTTTCTCCCTTGCTAACAACACCAGTCTTAATTCTTTTTTCACTACAGAAACTGTCATCCTCTCAAGATCAGGTAATTTTCCCTAGCGGTATTTTTACCCCCTCAAACAGCCACAAGTCCCCACTGAATCGGCTTTCATGGATTTTGGCTTTATGATGAGGGTATCATAAAATATTCTGTGATCGGCAGGGCAAACATATTCACTGACACAAACATGACTATGGGGCCCAGCTTACCGTAATTTCCCCAGTTTCTAAACTCATCGGCAATATCAATCAAAGTTACTTTAATCCCAACAAAGTAATGCCGCAAACAATAAGAATTACGTACCAATCCTGCCTAACAGACTCAAATGTAGATGATGCACTAAGAGGAACCTGTTCCAGCTACACACCAGATTTTCAACAACTTGCAACTAACATGTGGTGTAAAATTTCACACTAATTATGTAAGACTGTAAGTAAATATAATTATGTTAAGATTGGGTCAGTATNTGGTGGTGCCTGCACCTCCACAGGCATCAGTCAATTGTGCCCGAATACATAACAACATTGGACAGCACTGTTATATGGGGTACCCAACATGCTGCAATTTTGCGGTATCCAAGAATATTGTGCAGAATGTGGAGCATGGTTTTGTGATACATCTACCTCAGCAGCTAATTCCCACACAGCCCATCCACAATCAACATCCAGCAAAGAAGCAAGAAGCTGAATTGTATGGCTGTCAACATGGGGTCGTCCTGAACAATGGCTGTCCTGAATGGCATTCCTCCCTTCACGGAACAATTTCACCCACCGTGCCACTGTGCGATATGGCAACGCAGCATCACCACATGCTTCTCACAGTCCCTGATAAGAGTTTTGTGCACTACAACCTCGTACAACTTCAATTGTTATCCAGGAGCATTGTTCTTGTTTCGTAAACATGTTGTTAGGGTGCTTGAACTGGGCTCCTGCACTTCAAGACAATGCACAATGCAACTCAATGAAACACAACCATAGCCACTCACTGCACTACTTCAACTGAACTTCTGCTATCAGCTACAGACATCGCTAGTGCCACCTGATGCACATCTTTCATGTTACAGCAGTGTTGCCACTACTTTTTATCCAACCCTTGTATAAATGTAAAATTTAAAGTTACCCCTGTGCTTAACTAATTACGCACTATACCATGAAGGCGCATGGGGAAATGGATGTGTAGATCCACAGTTTCTTGACCTTGGCACTAGGTAGATGTGAGTGGTTAGCCTCACGCCCCCACCGCTTTACGCCGGGGGAAAGAGCCCCATCACAACTACCCTCACAAGAACAAAAATCAGTATTTTTATACTTCATGCCTAAACAACTTTAATATTAATGTAGAAGTTAAAGTTGCCCCTCTGCTTAACTAATTACGCACTATGACATGAAGGCACATGGGGAAATGGATGACTAGATCTACATTTTCTTGATCTTGGCACTAACTAGAGGTGAGTGTTTAGCTTCACAGCCCCACCACTTTACCCCCGGGGAAAGAGCCCCCAGTACCAATTGAATAGGAGGTTGGGTGGACACCAGAGCTGGTCTGGATGACATGGAGAAAATTCTTGACCCTACCAAGAATCGAACTCAAACCCCTGGGCCATCAAGCCCATAGCCAGTTGTTATACCGACTGTGCTACCCCAGAGCTCTCAGTATAAACTGTACTGTGCTAATGCAAAATTCAACTCAATGGAATGTCATCTATAAACAAACTGTGCAGCTTTAGGGACACAACCTAAGCTACTACCAAAACTGTCCAGAATGAGGCCCTCTCCATCAGCCTTACCCATGTAGAGCAAAAGTCACAGACCCACACCCAAGTTCATCACTGACATACTGTCATCTGTTTTTGTGATCCTGACAGTGTGACATCAAAACACCTTCAATCATTCAACGATTAGGATATCCTAGCCCCCACTACTGGTCCCTGATGGACCCACAACTGAACCCTGGCTCAGCCCTCAGTTTCCTTTGGGTGAGGCATCTTCCCAACCAGCTTCTTCTGCTAGCCACACACTTCTTCCCTTGAAAGACAAGCTACTCACAGCTATCAAGAGACTGCTTTCAGTTTTATCCTAATGAGCCCCTTAAGAAGTTGGGGGAAGCACAGTTTCACAGAAACCCTACAAAAATCTTGAATACAGGTTAAGCTAATCTGACTTATCAGTGTTATGCAAGACCAGAAATCTCCGATAAATTGAACTAACACAGAGAAATGGGGAAAATATATCAGAAATCAGGTGCATAAAAAGACACTTGTGCATAATGCCTTCTTGCTACAAGTAAACCCATAATGATAAATAAATTGTAAAAGCTTAGGTTGCTGAAGTAATCTGCATTGTTCATTCTGGAATTGAATTTGTCAGCGCGATTCACCCATATCAGTAACATTCTTTTCCTCATTCCACACGCTGGTTAACCTGCGCCAATGAGAGTATATAAAAAACAAAAGCTTTCCCATAACCACTCGCCCTCAGCGCCCCGCCCATTTTCTCATTTTCGTATTCTCAAAAACATTCACCCAATTATTTTGCATGACCCTACTGTTTGCACAGTGAAAACATCTCACATATCGCAAACAAAGTTCTCATACACATATTTTTTCCGATAGTCGGAGAAAGGTCACTACTTCAGCACCACGTCTACTAGAAATTATTAACGTCAGCGCTTACGTGATTTATGATTGTTCATATTTACTGCCGTACTTACCCCCTCTGCCGTTAATTTCTGCTCTATTTTCGCCCATTTTAATAAGTAAATTATATCAAGAAAAAGTTCTACTTTGGATTTGCCTTTTTGCAACAACTTCACATATTGCAAACTGTTTTGTTCATTCCAGTAACAAATAACTGAAACTTTTATTCATCTGTAATTAAACAAGGAGTATCTTTTTCGATATAGTGTAAGGAGGTACAACTTTTGTACATTCACAAAAAAAATAAAACGGAAAGCCAACAACGTCAAACAGACAAACACACCGCTCCACTCACTGCCACCAACGCTCACAGCCCTCACGTCTCACGGCCTTCTGCACCACTGGTGTACGTTCACAGTGCTGCTTGAAAAAAGTGACAAAAATATGTTTTAGAAACTTGGTGCATAGAAATCGACACAGAGAAAATGGCACCAGTAAGCGACAGTGTTTGATTCAGTACATTCCCGTTACTTCCGTCAGTCGTGAGCCTCATGGGTCCTGTCTGGTATTTGCCTAGTTGAATTGCGGAATACCACTAAAATTTTGACAGAACTCTCGCTGTCCTGGCCAAGAATCGAACTGAGTATCTTCAGAATACGGGTCTCGTTATCAACTGGGATAACTAAATTGCTCCTCCAACCCTCACTTTTGCATGAAAGACAGTAACCGATTAGCGAAGCGTGACAAAGGCTGTGGCAGGTATTTTACTAGGCATATGACTGTGATGAATATCCAGTAATTGTTTTCTTTGTAAGTCCCTTGTACTGCGGCCACTTCTGGCCTATTGTACCATCCCCAGATGATAGGTGAGGGTGATTGTGGAGAAATTGGTGGAATGAAGATTGGCAGGGGAACCAAAGCACTCGGAGAAAACCTGCCCCAGCGCCACTTTGTCCACCACAAATCCGTCTTGACTGTGGTGGGAAGCCAGCGACTAACCGCTTGAGCTATGGCGCGGCCTTCCAGTAATTGTTGGTGTCGTTACATATTTTAAAACGTAGGAGAAGACTATATATTAAGAGTTTTTTTAATTGGAATTTGATATCCATATTCCGGTATGTAACGTCGCAGTACTCATTATTGGGCAACATTTTTCAAAACTGCACACAGGACTGGAAATGGGAGGGGCACCAATTATTTGGGCAAGGGCACACCAAGAAAACTGGCAACCACAACGCAACCGCAATCTCCGAGAATTGTTATCAGCCTGAGTTGAACACATGTAACTGAATGCGGTTGCCAGTTTCCTTTGTGTGCTGAGTTTCACGGTGGGGTCGAGGGAGGTAAATTTCTGGCTAATGGAAGCACCGTGGAGGATCATACCTTCCTTGTAGGATTTGAAATTCTCACAACTGTGATCACGAAAAGTTCTATCTTCTGGGATATGAGCCATGCAGTCCACTGAAAATCAACCGGCGTTTCGGAGGAACACGTTGACTCCATCATTAGGGTCGAAGAATAAGCCAAGCAAAGAAACCAGTTGCTTCATGCTGGTTTGTTGCTTGGCTTATTCTTCAACCCCCTTTGACGAAGGAGATATGTTCATCCAAAACGTTCGTTGCTTTCAATGAACTACAATGAATATAACCATGAAATCTTCTTCCTTTCTCATACAACCCGCTCCATGGACTATCATGTGGGGTATAGACGTCGTGTGCCCATTGGTGGACGTAATTGCCATGGATGCCAACAAATCTCAGACCACAGTTAGTTGGATGCGTATGGTATGGACTAGTGAAAAGGAGTACTATTCCGTGATCAGTTTGGTCATACTGTGTATTCATTAAAATTATTTTGTGCAACAGCTGATTAAAAATGGGATGGTGGTGTGCTTCGTATTTATGTTTAATGTAATGATTTATCAGTTCAAACAATGACCTTGTAATGTGATAACTGGTGTACGCAATGGCTTATCAAACATTCCGTCAAGAGTACATGCAAATGCCTGTTGTGACCAGAGCGTACACAACGGCATGTGTTATTACTACGCTAGCAGTCGTGCGTGTCAAGTTTGGCATTAAATTTTTAATAATTGCATATTTGTATGTTTTTCAAAGTGTCGGTTCATATACTAATAGTCAATATTTATATTTTCAGCAATTGGACTTGGTTTCACCATTTCAACTGTATTTCAACCCAATTTTAATTGTGAAACAGTATCAGGTATATGGATTGTGACAGTTTATGATACTAGGTTAGGTTGCTCATGTTTTTTGAAACCTAAATGCGGAAAGCCCGTTCTCGTAAGATGACGTTGGTGTAGCCCTAAGAATATTGGTTTGGAAGTAACCATTGAATTACACTAATAGGGATAACTGAAGGTGATAAGTGGATGACTGAGAGGCTCGTTACTGAGCATGGTTATCACAGATCACCACCTTATTTATCGTGCAAGACTGACAGTTCTGGAAATGCAATCAGACCACTGCTACACAGTACTTTGGACAAAAAATAAATAACTTGCCCAAATTTTATTAAAATCTCAAATCCTGTTCTCCCAAAATTTTTATAAGTTATGTGAGAATAACATATGGTGAAAAGAAATAATGTTATCTTCAATCACTCCTGCTATGTCAAACTGCATCTATTTTCTAGCCTTCATTGCATGTCCTGTAAAAATGCTGTTCAATAGAAATGTACAATGAATTGTGCCTGTGACAACTTGTGTCTTTTTATTGAACAAAATATAGAAGCTGTAGAAGTAGTAGATGCAACATATTTAAAAGTGGAAATAAAGCATGAAACCGTTATGGGCCTAAATAAAAAGAACAAATTCTTGTTGTAGTGATACTATGCATACACAACACACAGTTTTGTGTGTATATAAATGTTAGTAGAAAATCTGAAAACATTTAAGTTCAATTAGAAAATATGAATGAACCAGTTCATAAAAGGTGTAAAGCCAACCAACTTGTGGTATCCAGTGACTTTCCCGTGTAAGACATGCATGATCAGTCTAGAATAGAGGGAGCCCAGCTCTTGTGCATGAAGCACATTGCATCACTGGAAAACAGCCTATGCCTTCAGATGAAATTCAGTCCATAATAGTCATTATTGTAAACATGGTGTTATACAGCCCATGAAGTTTATAAATTTGCGACACACAGTAACTAGAAATGAGTGTGAAGACTGGATACTTGGTGTAAGTAACTGAAGTTAATAGAATCTTTCCTTTATATCACTTTGTAGTGATTGTATGACTACTTCTGTAACTTGCTTTCCGGTAACACTATCAGCATGACAGTGCTTGTTGGTGATGTATGTATGTGGAGGAAGTGGGTGCAAGCTGTGTCAGCCAGGTGGAAGAAGGGATTTGAGAACTGGACATCATGTTAACCAACATAAAAAGGAATTATCAATTGTAAATTTTAATATCATGAAGCGGCAACAATAGTGTGCATTCAAGGAACTACATTTCTTGTTCCTTATCTCACTATCATAATAACAGTGCTAATGGTTCTTCTGTAATCTGCAGTGGCCAGTTTGATGGTGGTTGCATGTTTATGATAATGTAACATACTGCATAGCACTTTTAACTATACAGGGTGTCCCAGTTGTTTGGTGCCATACTTCAGGAGTGTACTGAGGGTTCCCTATAGAACAACTTTGAAATAGGAACCCATAACTGCAAACATTTCTTGTTCCTTATCTCACTATCATAATAACAGTGCTAATGGTTCTTCTGTAATCTGCAGTGGCCAGTTTGATGGTGGTTGCATGTTTATGATAATGTAACATACTGCATAGCACTTTTAACTATACAGGGTGTCCCAGGTGCTTGGTGCCATACTTCAGGAGCGTACTGAGAGTTCCCTATAGAACAGCTTTGAAATAGGAACCCATGTCCGCAAACGTAAAATAGCAGCGCTGTTGCAGCATTTAATATCATTTTGTTTAAACTTGGCACCTCAATGTCGAAGAGCATGCACAGGCATATTACCCCCTCCAAACTCTTAAGACTCACCTGCTAGAGTAGATGTTGGAATTGACGCCCTCCATTTTCAATGCTTGCGTTACATTGACGAAAGAAACTTTGGCGCACCCTTTCAAATAGTCCAGGTGTCTCACGGATCACGTCACATGCAACAAGTATTCTGGCCAACAGCTCGAATTCATTATCCACATGCGTGTCGTAGATCAGGCTTTTCATGTGGCCCCAGACGAAATAATCCAGAAGTGTCAAGTCTGGGGATCGGGGTGGCCAAGGCACTGGGCCTCCTCTTCCTATTCAATGACCATGAAAAGCAGCATCGAGGTAGTCTCGTGATACAATGCTGAAGTGTGTCGGCGCTCCGTCATGCTGTGTCCACATTTGCCTCCGCACAATCAGTGGCACGTCTTCTAGCAAAGTCGGAAGGATACGTTCCAGGAACACCTTGTAAAAGAGCCCATTGACTCAAGGTGGTAGGAGGAAAGGCCCAATCAAGTGATCACCAGTGATGCCTGCCCAGACATTGACAGAAAATTGCGCCTGTTGGTAACCAACTACAGTAACGTTAGGGTTTTCATCAGCCCAAACGTGGCTGTTTCGACAGTTGAATCGCCATCCCTTGTAAACTGTGCTTCGTGTGTGAATAACACGTGATTCGGGAATTTGGGCTGATGTAAACACTGGTTCAGTATCCACTGACTCGTGGTACAAAGTCAGCCGGACCTACGTGGTGTATTCACGTTTGATGATATGGATAAAGTTGTTGGTCGTGCAGGATCCTCCAAACACTTGATTTTGATGTCCCCACAGTCTTGGCAATGGCACGAGTGCTGGTGGATGGCTGTTCCTCTATGCAATGCAGTTTGACATTGAGACACCAAGTTTAAACGAAATGATTTTAAATGCTGCCCTAGTGCTGCCATTTTACATTTGCAGACGTGGATTCCTATTTCAAAGTTATTCTATAGGGAACCCTCAGTATGCTCCTGAAGTATGGCACCAAACTCCTGGGACACCTGTATACGTGCCCCTTCCTCTCGAATGCCTGTCTTCTGCTTGGGACTTAAATGTGTCAGATGACACCTTTTTTTCATATTGTACACTAGTAAATTAAGAAAACTACTGAGAAATGGTAATAATCATATGCCAAATGAATATGCATTAAAAATACTACATACATATTTGCAGGGCAGTAATTGTCAGTACCAGAGTCAATAGTGCTGGCAATGGGTACATTATCAGTTGTTATGTTTTCTGCAATGTAACACCTTGTAGTCAGAAGAAAGGCAACTGTTTCGTAGGAGCATACTGTATTCATCGTTAGGGTCAAATAGTAAGACAAGCTTGCTGTCTGCTTCATGCTGGCTTCTCAGTTCACTTACTATTCAACCCTACAAATGGTGGCAATAAGTTCCTCGAAACCTTCGACTTTCATTAGACTATGTGGTATTATTTCCCAGATGATGGCACTCTTCATGCCCACCAGTGTGAGGATGATTATTCTCATCTTTCATGTTAAAATTCCGTTGTTTTCAGCTATGGCGACTGGTAACGACTTTCCTGTTTTTTGGAACAGTGGGTTTCAATTTTTTCTTCAACATGATTTTTACATATCGGTACTGCCGTATGCTGGAAGAAGGTTCATTCCGAGGACGCACTGCTGATTTTGTAATGATGTTCCTCTTTGGAGGAATTTGTATGATTGTATCCTTACTTTGCTTCAAGATCAAACTCTGGATTTGCAGGCATTATTATCCCTTCATGAACAAATTGAAAAGTACAGTACTACATACATGTAAAAATAATGTTAAGAAATATGATCATAATGCAGTAATATATTTCAGCCTCAGTATCAGTATTCATATATTAATGTCTGAACTATGTGACTTTTATTAACCTTTTTTTCCCACATTTTGTTATTGCTACACATTTGTGAAAACATCCAAAAGAGAAACGCTTACAAGAATTAGGTTATAACTTAGGAGCCATGTTGTATGAATGCATATCTCTTAAATTTCAGTCCAAATACACACATTGGTGCCACAGTTATATTTCTGGTTCATTTTGACCCCCCAAAGGCTTTACTCAGAGTACTAACATATGTTTAAAAAATAACAAAATGTTAAAATTGTTTGAATGAATTTGTGTGACTCACCGACATAAAAATAACATATTCTGCATATTTACTTGAGGCAGATAATCTCTGCCTCGTTGAGCTGAGCCTTTCTTGAGAAGCCATCAACAATGCAGCTACTCAAGAATTTCCCAGCATTTTATGGAACCCGAAGGTTCATTATCATGTTCACAAGAGCCTCCACTGGTCCCGATCCTGAGCCAGATCCATCCTATCCCATCCTGTCTAAGATCAATTTTAATATTTTTCACCCACCTATGCCTTGGTCTTCCCAGTGGTCTCGTTCCCACCAATATCTTATATGCATTCCTCTTCTCCCCAATTCTTGCTACATGCCTGCCCACCTCATCCTCTTAGGCTTGATCATTTTAATTATACTTGGAGAGGAAGAGTACAAGTTATGAAGCTACTCATTATGCAGTTTTCTCCAACCTCCTGTCACTTCATCTCTTTTCAGTTCAGATATTTTCTGCAACACCCTGTTTTCAAATACCCTCAGTTTATGTTCCTCCCTTAATGTCAGAGACCAAGTTTCACACCCATACAGAACCACAGGCAAAATTATAGTTTTGTGTATTCTAATTTTTATGTCTTTGGACAGCAGATGAGAAGACAAAAGGTTCTGGACTGAATGGTAGCAAGCATTACCTGAGTTCAGTCTCCTCTTAATTTCCTCCTGAATCAGGTTTTGATTTGTGATCATCATTCCCAAATATGTGAACCAAGTGATATAATTGGTTAGGTCACATTCACACACATTCTACCTAGCATATGACATTCTTGCAATAAGTACAAGATTGACAGCCCACAGCCTACTCAGTTTCAGTATGCCTCATCTTTAAGAAATCCTAGAATGGAATTATTCAGTTGCAATATTTTTCACTGCCATCTCGTTATAATATGTAATTAATTGAAAAGCAGAAGTGTCAGATTTTCAGCACACGTTGAAAATATATTCATGCTCCCGAACTCAGATTTACAGCTCATTTTCATGGTACACTGTTATATGAGAATATTTTCCTTGACATACACATGTAGATTTTTGCATTCTTTGTAAACTTATTGTTCCTTGGTCAAGCCTTTACTATCATGTTGGTGTATGTGTGGTCACGTAGAAATCCTTTTGTGAGAATGAACTTCTTTGGATTGATCAACTTCCAGGTATGTAGAAATACAACTTAAATATTATATATCAGAACTTTAAAGGAAGAAAGTTTCTAGTAACTTATTGTGAGCTCACGTTTAAATCCTTACGCAAGAAACATTCAGTACAGACACTCCTCATTATATGAGAGTTCAAATAAGTGCAATTAGCTGACTTAAACAGATTTCAGTTTGTATCACTTGATCAGTCAGCAAGCAGTTCACATTAAAGTGAGAGAAGCTGGAGGTCTGAGTATAGTATTATATAGGTATATAGATAGAAAGTAAATCTATCCCTGGAGCAGGCCTTGAAAGCCCGTACGGTTGGAGACATTGAGGCTCCCACATTTTATCCGGACAGTCAGCCTTACATTCCAGCTNCCTACCCCCCCCCCATGGGAAGATTCCTGGTACACATTTCTGTTAGCGGCTGAGTCGACCCCACGGCCATTGTGCGGCTTTAAGGATTAGATCAGTTGAAAAATCCTGCAACTTTCTGGTTTGTAGCACAGTGCCTCAACCAACTACACTACTGCATGCCTCTTATTGTATGGGTTTGGGAAGGAGAAATATGATGGCAGAGGGCACAGGCATGTTTAGTTTATGCGATTCAACCCTGTGACATGTTTGTGGAACACAACTATCACAGTAATCGAGGAATATTTTATAGTTGTATACTAAAAACACCAAGTGTTGCGGCTTTGGGTATAACTACCATGTACCAGATTTTTATATGGGTAACTAAATTCTGTGAAGCCTATATGGAGTGTTATCATGAAGAGGAGCATTGCTAATCCTACCATTTGTTGTACTTTCAGGCACCATACTTACCATGGGTGCTACTAGGGTTCTCAGTTCTATTAGGCAATGCCATTTGGGTGGACCTTATGGGTATGGCTGTAGGACACATATATTATTTTGTAGAAGATGTGTTCCCAAACCAACGTGGAGGTTTTCGGTTGCTCAACACACCACAAATACTGTAAGTGTTTACTCATAATTCAGTTATATTTTTATGATAAGTGACTAATTAGAAACTGTTTAGATTCTGCTACAGCATATGTCCTACAGACTTTTCATTGTGGTCACAAGTGAATCAGAATAGTCCATGATTTATTTCACCGCCTTCTAGTGCATACACTTATCTGCCTCACTCCCCTCTCTCGCACTACATGTTTCGGCACAAAAGTGCCATCTTCAGGTGCCTTATTTGATTAACGTTAAACTAGTTCACTGCATGCCTTGTCGTCTTCATATTAAAATAATTAAAATATATATTTATCAT